GGCTGGAGTTGGAGATGTGGGTGCTTGGGCCTCTTTACTTCCCGTAGGGCTCTGGTGCTGTGCTAGTACACAATATGCGCTTCTCGCTGGCAGATGTACTGCTGCTAGCTGTGCATCAGATGCCGGTTGGGGAAATCGTGATTACACGTATGTACATGCAGAACGACAAGGGGATTAGTCACCGGTCTACCCACATTGACCGGCCATTTCTGCGCGTGCCTGAGCCTGAGCCTGAGCTCGGTACGAGTACGTGTACGTGCAGTGCTCGTACTGCTTCGATAACAGTGTGGGAGTCCACCTGACCCGGGCAGCAAGGTCGTCTAATTGGGGCCAGGCAGTCTGGCAGAAATGCACAGATGGAGAGAGCTCCATTGCAGGCATTCGTACAACACAGCAACACAGCAATCCCCGCGCATCTCCATGCCGCGCAACTCGCCAAGTAAAAGACAAATGGCAAGACGGGAAAAACGGGGGGGAAGGGGTCCCCTTTCTGGTTGCAACTTGGGGACTCGGCGTACAGTACCGAGTTAGACAGCCGCGCATCTCGCACGCATGCTGTACGTTGCACTTCTGTAACAACAACAACGCACCCAAACGCTGGCAGACCGTGTAATTGGGGGGGAGGTGGGTTGGGACGGCACGGTTGGGCGCTGACAGTGGTGCCATGGAATAGCCATGTGCTGCAAATGAAAGGGCCCTCCCCCGGGGTGTGGGAAGGGGAGGGGGAGTCTGTCCAGCGTCGCAGAAATCCAGTAGAGTGCGAGATGGTTAGCCATGTTTCCCGGAGGCTCTTTTGAAATTGCTATAGATAGGAACCAGTGACGGGATCATCAAACCAAGGGCGTCAGCGTGAAGCTTTTTCTGTAGCCGGCAATGCTCGCAAAGCAGCAGCATTTCCACCCTCGCTTGCTAGACTCGGCGGATTAGATGAAGCTAGCCAAGAAGCTCACCCAAAGCTGTCCGCGTGTAGGACTGGCGTGATTGGGGGGTGCTCGGCGCTTGTCCGCGGCTCTTTTTGGAGGAGCCCATTGCCAGAATCTTGGAGAGAGACAACGCGCGCTGTTCCCAATATCGCCAGTGCACTAAGTTAGTCGCAGGCGCAATATGGTCCCCCAGCAGGCGGGGGGGGGGGGGAGGAGGAGCTTGGGAGTCTCATCAACAGTCCGGAAGAGGCCAATCACAGGCCCGAGCACTACCGATCCGTTTGTTTGGCGTCGCTTTGGTAATGGGCGTCATGGGCAGGCCAAAAATAGCTGCCCTTACAATTAGCACGTGTGCTGCCACGAGTTAGGCTGAATTCAACCTCCTGGTGGCTGGCGCCTTTTGGCAGAGGCCTGGGGGACTGAGAACACCGCCAGCCGGCAGCGAGAGTCTCCGGTGAAGGCTGAGCCCAAGCTTTTTTTCTTCTCCCTCGTCAACTCAAATCCAAGGTCAAGGTGGCCACGCACGCCCCTCCCCGCTGGAAAGCTCCTGATTAGCATTAGCAGGGCAAGTTGGTTAGTTGGTTAGTTTTGGCTCCTCTGTTTACAGTGCAGTACTAGGTATTAGACAATGAGGAGAGAGAGACAGAGAGTCATGAACATGGGGGGGAGATGATTTGAGATTTGGGGGACGGGCAGTGCTGCTCTCTTGGCGACAGCCGGTCGCTGTTCGAGAGTCCTGCTTGCTTGCTAGCTGCCGCCTTACGAGGCTATCCTGCGTCACCGTTGACGATTCGCCTATCATGGCGCGCCATGGCTGCTGCAAACCACGCTTCTCATTTGACGTCGGCCGTTGTCTCGGGATGAAAGAGACGCCACGCCGCCAGGGGCGTTACCGTTTGCCTTGATTACATGTGCAAAGACGCTTCTCTAGCGACAACCGTGCCAAAAGGTCGCACGCCCGTCACCCGTCTCCATACTTCTCTCTCTCTCTCTCTCTCTCTCTCTCTCTCTCTTTCGCTGCCTGTCTGATGCCGCAACCTAAAACTTACGTCCGTCCGGTACTCGTAGCCCATCATGATGTGCCGCTTTGAGCCATTGGCCCTACGGGCGGAGCAGCATGAGCCCTACAGCGACGCCACCGCAAAAGTAAGGTACGGATAACATGCCTTTGTTGGGGGGCTTGCTCTCTATTTCGAGAGAGGAGAAGAACATGACAAGCCCGCCGCCACCAGGACGGCAAAAAGGTTGGCCGCGATAGGTAAACGTGGAGCAACACACGACACACACACACGCCTGGCGATAGCGATGTGTGGTTTTTGGCTTCGCGTTGTACCTTTTCCCACGCAGCGCTATATACGTACGGAGCCGCCTGGGCATTTCGCATTGACGATTACTAAATAATTCTAATAATACTTGCAATCAAGTTGAACCCTTTTCCCACGGCCTCTGTCAAGATTCCGGGAGACCAACCGTGTTATTCGTGCTGCCACTGTTTTGGGAGCTGTGTCGAGTCATGGGCCAAGAAAGGCGGGACGAGCGAGCCATCCGCATTGATTGACAATGACAAGATTGGAAGGGGGGGCGCATCGGAGCCAGGCCGCCCCTCTCTCGCCGATTCGAGCACTTGAGCCCCAATCCTTTGGCTCGGGTTAAACAGCGAAGAGCTGCGATTCAAAGTCCGAAGCGGCGACGCGGCAGTAAGGCGACAAGAATAACTCGCAACGGGTTTACCATGAGGATCGGGAACTGAGTGAGCGACATGGAGCACAGTATCCCGGCCGCACAGTTATACTTTGTGATGTTTTGAAGCAGCACGTTTTCGAGGTTTGCCGATTTTACCGGGAGCCGGTAGAAAGCCTAAAGCGCACCGGCGCCGTTTGTGCGTGCGTGCCAGAGCGGGCTGCATCGTACAGTGAGTACGGAGTACGGAGTAGACTGCCATTGCATTGCCAAAGATTATAGACGCAAGGAGGCATTTCTACCACCGTGCTGTACAGTAAACTCGTGTGACCTACTTGTACCATTTCCACGGGCCTCCGGTCGGAGAATGGCTGCCGGCAAAAGGTCCGCCAACGCATTCCATCTCCAACAAGGTGGCGGCAAGCCCTTCCTCCCAAGGCGCATTGGCCAATGCGAGGCGCGGAATGGCCAGATGCGATTTCGTCCGAAGATCCTTCTACAGCGTTAGCACAGCACAAAGGAATGGCCGGTGCCTTAGCCGTGTGCCGTTCCTTTCTGGGCGCAATGTTTCGAATGCAACGTCTCGACGTCTAGAAGGCCCCCCTACTAGGAGCGCAATGGCTTGGGCCTAAACAGACGCTTGAACTGTGTGGCTAGCAGAATAGGAGAAGTCGAACATTGCGAAGCGTCGAATAGCATTAGAGCCATGTCAGCGCAGCCCTATGACGACGACGGCACAGCGTTGGCTTTGCATCCTAGCCTGGCCACTTGTACCTTACTTGCCCTGCCTGCCGGTAACCTAGCAGACCGACAGTCCCCCATGCCGCGACTTTGCCAGCTTTCGCATCACAATCACATCGTATAAGGCTCGCATCGTATCACGCCTAGGACGTGGGCGGTCCGAGTCCATGCTTGCCGGTGCGAGTTGCGAAACAGCGTCTTGCTGGGACTGAGTACGAGGTGCCGACAGCCAGCGGGTATATGTCGGGCGGAAAGGCGGAGAGGGCCCAACAATTGCCCCGGCGCACGGCCTGGAGCCCCGGCTGTCGCATCCTGCTCATCATACTGTAGAAAGGTGCGAGTACCTACGAGTGCGTGTAGTGCAAGTACGAGTACCTACGTGCGGCATCCGAGCTGGTACAGCGCCATAGAGCCGTGGCGGCAGAGGTACCTGCCGGGCGACGACAGGCATGTAGGGGGAAAGAGGCGGGACAGGCGGACTGGCCTTTTGGCGCTTCTTCTGGGACCCGCGGCTGGTCTGGTCTGGTGGCAGTAGCAGCCCAGGCCAGGCCAGGCAAGGCAAGGGAGAGCAGGAGCAGAACAGCAGTCAACAGAATGCTTGCCAGATGGGGCACTGGCACTGGATGGGATGTGCGAAAAACCGGGCAAATTTGGCTCATGACAAAACCAGCGACCAGAGCCAAAGCCATGTGGTGCTACAATTAGTAGCGGCACAACAGCAAACACGCGCTAGGCACGTATTGGGAGGGGGGCAGCACTGACACTAAGAAAAGTACCTCCCGGGTGCCCTGTCCAGAGCTAGAGGCAGAGGCAGAGGCAGGCAAGACCTAGTCCCTTCCCTCACGCCTCCCGACAGGCGGCAGTAGCGCCACGCCCCCCCCCTTGTTGCCCTTTGCTGCTCTGGCCCCCCGCTCTATCCGCAGTATCCAGCATCCCACTCGCAACTGCCTGCAGACTCCCACACCATCGCCTACCGTCACTGCACAGGCACGAAAACATGCGTCGATGTGCTGGCCACACCCCCCCTGCACAAGTTGCAAGTGCCTACTGCAGCATAGGCCACTCCTGCCGCACCCCCTGTCAAGCCAGAGCGCACAGCCAGATCCATCCGCGCAGCCCAAAACCTCGTGTCTTTGTCCTGCTACTCCCACGCCCCCCGGCACCGATCGACCTTGCTCGAGTGGACGGGATGGCCTGTCACAGCTTTTCTTTGCAACACGCCTCACACCCTCCCACCCCCAGAACAACGCTAATTACATAGTACAAAGCCTTGCTGGGCGGGCTTCAAGCCTGCCCCATGCAGCCCTGCAGCATCCGTCCAGGGTCTCGTCGCATACACACTGAGCTTTGGACGGACACAGGCAGATAAGTCGAGGCATCTAGTATTTAACTCTCTCGTCCTCCCATCTTGGTCCAACCCGTCATGACCATTCCGATCCAACAATTGCTCAGACTCACATCTGCTATATAATACCAATCGACATCTCATCCCAATCATCCATCTTCATCTTTACTCTTCAATTTAAAGCAGAGCCTCTTTACATACTTGTCTCTTCTCTTTGCCCAAGGCCGCCTTGCTTCTGCACCCCTCCAACAACAGTCATATCGGCTCTTATTTCTCTACTACACAACATCAACACATCAACACATCACACAATGGCCATGTACGCCATCTCACAACAACACCCCTACGCCTACGCTGCCGTTGCGGCACCGGCTCCTCCACCTCCCAGGCACTGCTCAAACCACGGCACCAGCAGTGCTTTCAGCAGCTCTGCCCACCCTGACGAGGATTGGACCAAGATCTCAGATCTTGCCGAGCGCAGGAGGATACAGAACCGCATCGCTCAGCGCAACTACCGTATGTCTCACTCGCACACTCTTGGAATTGGGAGCGCAATCTTTTTTTTTCGCCTTTTTTCTTTTTTCCCTCCCTCTAACTCTCATTTGCAGGCAAGAAGCTTAAGCGCCGTCTGGAGGACCTTGAGCGCCGTGCTGGATCCGAAGAGGGCGATGCTGAGAAGCAGCCTTCGCCAGTGCAGTCCACCAGCCCCAACAACAAGATCACCAAGCGCCAGTCAATCTCCAAGGCACACAAGGCCCACCAGCCTGCTCCCGTCCGCCTGCCGACTCCCCCCAAGGCCATCGTGTCTCAGGGTCAATTCACTCCTCCCATGGAGTCGCACGAGGAGCTTGCCTTTGCCCCTCCCGCCTACCACCACCACGACGAGCGCGAGCGATCCAACACGCCGCCCGTCTTCTCCTACACAACCTACCCGGCTCCCGATGAGCTGCTCATCAACCCTTACGGATCTGCTCACGCCTATCCCACCATGACCACCGCAGAGGCCTACCCCAACTACCTGACGGCCACTGCCATGCCTGCTTCGCTGCCTCCTCTGGGACACTACAGCGAGCCCATCAAGCGGGATCTGTATCCCGACAACGTCATCAGCCCCTACATTGGCTATGGCTTCATGCCTACTCACGACATGGGCATGCCCACTCCCTACGACCCATCCAACCCTCTGGTGAGTTCGGCTAGGCATCTCTCCTACTCTCGGGATCTGCGTTGCTGATTCTGAATGCCACAGACTCCTCCTCTGTCGCACTCATACGACCACTCGGCTGCCTGCTCTGAGACGGGCTTCGAGTACCCTACAACCCCGCTGTCCATGCCCGGATCTCCGGCCATGATGCAGCACCAGCATTAAACTGGAAACAAAAACAGAAAAGCAAAAGCAAAGAAGAAAAAAACACGCAAAACAGACAAAAAATACCAGATTTCATACAATTCATCATCCTCCCTTTCCATGTACACTCCGAAGTACATATGCACCACCTTGTCACCAACTACTTCTCCCGCCTCTTCACCGAGTCCGATCATCGGTCTCAACAAGGTGGTGATTTGACATCACGAAAAATGATTTCTGGTTTTATGCACGGGGTTCACAGCACTACTAGTGCGCAAAGGGTACTTTTATTTTTACTTTTTATTTTTTCATGAGGACAAATAGCATGGCGATTGTGGGTCTCGTTCACTCTTCTTGGGGAGCCTTGGTTGAGCTCAATATTTGTGTTACCACCTTTTTATACTTGTTTTTTTTTTGTGTTCTTTACGAAGTGGAAATTGGGATGACTTGAAAGATGGGTTGGATTGGCGGGCGTTCCAAGGAGCAACGGATTGATCGATGTGATTAGCATCTCATCTGGCTTGGTCTTTTGGGTACATGTACTCTAACCTGATGCTCAGCACAGGTTTGTTGGATACAGCTTTTTTTTTGGTGTTTTCTCTTTTTTTACTTTATTCTCCATTTTGGATTATACTAGATATCCCCGCCGGAATACTTTACGGATCGGGCACTAGAAGCGTGCTCAAATATCACAAAAAAACACACATTGTTCATACATCTTCTTCTCTTGTGCCTACATCGTGCTTGCATCGTGCCTATAGCTAGCTCTACCAAGAACATGATGATTTGGAAGTGAAGTCGACAAAGCTGCTGTCCCGACCCAGCGGACGAACCGGCGACGCTACTGGCATGGCTTGGGTTCACTGCCCAACTGCCATGTGGACGAAGCCACACACTACTGACTACCTCGAGATAGTTTGGTTGCGGCCGCTGCGGTAAAAATAGTAGCGCCACAATCGCCCGGCGCTTGGGGTGCAAGCGAAGGCTCGTTGCTTTTTGGTCCCTACCTGTACTTGTATTTCTTTTTGCTTGGTGTCTACGGAAAGTTTTGCGGGGAGAATTTGGCCGGAGAAGCGGAGGCTTTTCTGCGCCTCGAAGTGGCATTTTTCTTGTTTTTGCCCATGGTTGGGCTTGGACATGCGTGTTGCGTGTGTGTGTGAGAGCATGAGGAAGGATTTCCTAGCAGCTTCTTCCTTTCTTTCTAGGAGCAGCCACCCCCGTCACCTATCAAGCACGTGGGAACGGAGGCGCTGGGCGACTTTTGCTGCGTGCATTTGTGGCATTTGGCATCATTTTTGGGTTTGCTGGCTCGTGGCTCGTGGCTCGTGGCTTGAGATCGGATTTATCGCCCATTGTTACGCCCCCCCGAAGTTGGGTTTGACAGGTTTGTCACTTCTCTTGGCTTGTCTCCGCTGGACTTTTCGGAGCTTAGAGCACGAGGCCATTACTAAGGAAATCTGGAATCTGGAGAAAAAAGCCGGAGTAAGAATACTCCGCTCCAGCTTTGCCTCGCCCGATCGGAGTATCCGCACCAACCTTTGCCGAAGCTCAACTTACTCGCTGCAACATTGAATCTTGACCCAACAAGGCTACCGCTGGCGAGGCTACGCACTTTGGAGCAGCAAGTTGAAACTCGCCATCTCTTGCTCGCCATTAATAATTGCACATCAACAAAGAAAAAAAGAAACCGCCGCCGCGCAACCTCTTTCCAACGAACAACGATGCACGCCACGACTCGCTGGCAGCAACTGCTCTTTCTCTACGGTGGAGACCAGTAAGAGACTCCCCTCCCTCACCTCTGCGGCCCTTGCCTCCGTTTGCCTGCGCCGCGATGGCTTCTTTGTTTTTGTTTTCCTCACCCCTCTACCTCTTTTTCCTCATTGGTATACGCACTGTGGGAGCCTATCATGCCCTAATCTGATCATTGGCTCGATTGGGAATGAGTTGGAAGCGAATCGGAAGTCTAGACCACGGCGGTGGCTTTGGGTTTGTAATTCTTGCCTCTTCCTTCTTGGCACCGCAGCACACCCCTTGATGGTATGAATGACTAGAGAAAGGGGGGAGATGAAGCCATTGGAGGTAGCAAGCAAGCGAGTGGGCAAAAAAGAAAACAAAGAAGCCAAGAAAAATGAAGCATCTCGAGGCTAACTGAAACCCGCCCCCCCCTGGGGTTCCGTCCAACAAAAGACCGTGGGACTCTTCGTTATGGGTCACTTCAGATGATCGTGTCCGCGGAGGCGCCAGCCAGTCCCACCTCTCCGTGATAAACCCCGAAAAGGTCCGGTTCTACGGCCATCTCGATACCCAGACGCTTGGTGGTGCCGGCTTCGCATCGCAGCATAGCTTGGGCGTGCTGGACTGGGATCTTTCCGGCTATGAGGGCATCGTCGTTTCAGTGGCCGAAGCCGATGGCAAACGATACGCGCTGACGCTCAAAGACGAGATACCCCCGAAGAGGGGCGACGGGCGTGAGGAGGCTGGTATCAGCTGGGAGGCCGAATTCACAGTCTCGGAGGGCGGATCGGGGATTGACTTGAAGACGGTGTTTTTGCCGTGGAGTGCGTTTAAGCCGACGTATCGAGGCAGGCCGAAGCCGGATGCGAAGCCGCTGGACCTGTCTAATGTCAAACGAGTTGGTTTGATGATGCGAAGGTGAGCCTTTTGATGACTCGACGCGTGACAGACTCAGAGAATTGACTCGTGAGAATTATAGTTTCTTTGGAGACCAAGAGGGGGATTTCTCCATCGAAATCCATGCTATTGCCGCCAAGAGAGAGATTGAAGAGGAGGAGGAGGATGACGATCCCAAGGCTGCCGTTGAAGCTGCGGCGTTGAAGACGGTGCAAACCAGTCGGCGTAGTTGGTTTCGACTGTTGCTATGTGGATTGATTTGAAGGGGCTGCACCAATTGTATTGATGATGGACAATTGAAATGACGATGGAAGCATATGATTTGACTTGCTGCCGACTTACACGGCTTACGGCAACTTATCAACAAAAAAAACAGACAAAACAACTGCTTTACACAAAACCAACTACTTAATCAACATCTGCTTTGATCATTCAACGTCGCATCTTGTGCTTGGAATGTGAAACTGTCATTCTGATAAACGAAATGGTCTGTCTACACGGTGACCAGTTGCAGGCGAATAGCTTCCTACAGCTGGATTGCAGCGCTTGCGGCAACGATGTCGTCACCATGTTGCATTCGTATCGGGTGCACTGCACCCCTTCTTCAAGGCAGTGTCAGATAAGTGAATCTACTAAACATTTTAAAACCTCGCTTTTGAATTGATTATACCTAGGTATCGGTATCTGCTGATAGTTTTACCCATGGCCGGTAGTTTCTTCCGATTCTCACCAAAGCTGCTACCGCCGCGCAAGCAAGCTCACGTCAAAACAACATAATTACCACAACCATAATCCGATAATTACGGCAACACAGTCAGATTCTAATCGTGTAATCGCCTCAGCAGCCATGTCTCTGCTCTGTCTGTTCTGACTTTCACTCCCCCCTTCAGCGATCCTTGGCCTCTCTGCATCGCCACCGCCCTTGCCCTCCAAGGCGCGCCGTGGCGATCCCCAGTTCGCTGCCCGGATCGGAGCGCTTCTTTGACATGTCCGGGTCCGGGTGCTGGGGCTGGGGCTGTCGGCGCACCAAGGTTGACATCTCCCCGCGCCTATGAGCGCGCTGCTGTTCTGCTTACGCCGCCGGCGCGAAAGCTTCCTGAGCTGCCGGGCCTTCTTCTGCTGAGGAGAGGGCGTGAGCGGACGGGCTCGGGGCGCGGATGTCGCTGCGGGAATGCTGAGCTGTTGAGGCAGCTCGTTCGCGACGGGAATGACTGCGGCATGAGCTCTGCGGCGTGAGCTTTCTCCTCTGAGCTCTTAATCCCGGAGTTCCTCACGGCCGGGAGGAGGGGATTGAATTTTGGTTTTCTTACTTCCCCGGCTGTCATCCTCCGAGAATTCAAACTTCACACACACTTATACGCACTGTTTTCCCTTCTTTTGTCTCCCCCTTTTTATCCTCTTATGTAACCAAAGGGCTGAACTAATTGCTCTTCCACCACCAAAACCGAAAAAGTTAGGCTTGTTTTCTCTTGCAATGCCTTTTCCTACCAACTGACTATTATTCCAGATTTGCTTCCATCCGCCACAAAGCCCGTTACGCTTCTCTCGAAGCCTTCTTCTTCTAGGCCGTCTGCGTCTCACTTGGCTGGGCTTATGCCCCTAATTATGCTCGACGCCATTCCCTACCGCAAGTGTTGACATCTGCTACTTCCCGAGAATCACTGCCGGGGGAGCTTAATTGGCTCTGGGCTCTGGGCTTTTTGTGTACGATGCGGTGGCAAAAAGGAGAAGAAGCTTAAAGCTACTTTGATGAGGAGGCTATGACAGGCGGGCTTTTCTCAAACAGGCATTTGTAGAATATTACGACTTTGAGAATCCTATTGGGAGGGTTCGAAACAACGAGCATGAAACTAACGGAGGATGTGATGACTGATAGGTAGTTGGTTCCCCCAACTACTTTGGAGGAATCACCCCGACAGCCGGCGTGCTTGCCCGACGACCGATGTAGCAATCTCTTGGTCCATCTGGGGGAGTCTTGGGCATCCTCGCGGCCACTACCTTGGCATTCGCCAGTCCGGCTTTTGCAGCGTTTTTGCTTTTTCAAGGTGCCTGGCGTTGTCCCTTTCTAAAGCAAAGTATGACAAGTGGTACGGGGATTAGAATGGCTATCAAGAGTGGAAGCAGAATACGCGGAGGCCGATACCGAAGCTTTGGTAAGCCACCAGGTGAGTTTCTGTCTCTTACTCTGAGTTTTCTCTCATGAAAAGTTGGGGCGCGTGGAAGAAGACGGCAAGTTGCAATATGTGATTTGTACAATTATATTCAAGTTTATATGATTGGAATCCATCTAGAAAAGATGGCGATATAGACGTCATGCTTGGTGCAAATCAATGGACCATGATGCAATTTCTACTCATGTCATGCTTCCCACTCGCCTCTCCCGTCTTCATTCGCTGCCCTTTTGCCTGGGGTTGTTTTGCCTGGGGTTGTTTTATTTGTAAAAGGACTTGACCTTTTCAATCTCATCATAACTGCCCATGAAGATACCTGACCTGTCGTGGATGTGCTCCGGTACGACCTCCAGCATTCTGTTCATTGTGCTGTCAACAGCCTGGCCGCCAGCTTCATCGCGTGCCAAAGTTAGTCTCCAGTTCGAGATTTACCAAAAAGGGGGCTGCTGATATGATTTGACTTACCATTCTCAAAAACCAAAGCCATGGGCGCACACTCATATAGGATACGAAGCTTGCCCTTGGGGCTCTTCTTGTCCGCCGGGTAGGCAAAGATGCCTCCGTACAGAAGCGTGCGGTAGGCATCGGCCACCATGCTGCCGATGTAACGGGCGCTGTAGGGCTTACCGTCGGCCTGGGCCTGCTTGAGCGAGTTGAAGTAGTTGATGGTCTTGTCCTCCCAGTACAGCGAGTTGCCCTCGTTGACGGAGTAGATGGCGCGGGCCTTGGGGATGCGCATGTCCGGGTGGGACAGGATGAACTCGCCGATGCCGTTGTCGAGGGTGAAGCCGTTGACGGTGCTGCCCTTCATGGTCATGACGAGCTGGGCGGAGGCGCCGTACATTGTGAAGCCGGCGGCGACGAGCTCGGTGCCGGGCTTGAGGATGTCCTCCTTGCTGGCGACGTTGACGCCGTCGGGGATCTTGTGGACGGCGAAGATGGTGCCGACGGACACTCCGGCGTCGAGGTTGGAGGAGCCGTCGATGGGGTCGCAGGAGACGATGTAGCGGGCGCCGGCGGCCTGGGGAAAGTGAATCTCCGTCTCTTCTTCCTCGGACACCAGCATGGCGACTTTGCCGCAGGAGCGCATGGCCTCGATGAAGAGGTCGTTGGAGATGACGTCGAGCTTCTTCTGCTCGTCGCCGGTGGTGTTGGAGGAGCCGGCCAGGCCGGTCAGGTTGACGAGGGTGGCGCGGCGGATGTAGTAGGCGATGGACTTGAAGGAGTATTGGAGGGCATGGCAAAGCAATCTGTTTGAACGAGGGTTAATTTCATGATGAGTGTTTGTCTATGCTGTTTGCTTCATTGTGGGAGAGCGGGATAGCGGGTGGGATTTCGTTCAAGGTTTGTGCAGTGTAAAGGCAGCAGGTGAAATCGATTGATACGTACGTGAAATCACCAGTGGCTTCCTTGTGCTTAATCTGCTCTTCGGTAAGGAAGCGCGTGAGTGTGATGATGTGGGTGTTGACTTTCTCGCCCGTGTCTACGCTCATGGTGGCGGTTTATAGGCGATGATGTAATTTGGGGGAAGCTTGGGGTTTTTAGTTGTACAGCAGAGGAGCTTTGCTGGCAGTGGGAAATTCCGTGTCCCTGGATGTAGATCTCGGCGACGCGGGTATTTTGAGAGGCAATTGGACTGGAATGAATCGAATTGAAGGGGGGGATGGAAAAGAGTTGGGGAGATTGTTGTTGGTTGGAGAAGAGCAAAAGCTGTAGTGAGGCAACGGCTAGCACTGGTACAGCTCGGCAAATACAAGGCGATGACGCGGGGTATATCGTGGGGGTTTTTTTTGTTGGAGAGAGTTTGAATTTAAAGGGTAGCGGGAAGAAACCACCGTTCATATATAAAGTCGAAGAAGAAGAAGAGAGAGAGAGAGAGAGAAAGGGGGCAAGGGAAAAAAAACAGAAAAAAGTTCCCAGCACTACGGACAACTGATCACAAGACGCCCGAAAATCGAGAAACAATCGCGTAAACCCGCTGCTGCCATCCGGCCGGGACTAGAAACGCAGGTCCCTCTTTGGCCAGGTTAAGTTCCCTCAAGGATGGCTTGTGCGGCTCTCGTTCAATACGGGAGCGAGCGGCTACTCTGGGCCCTTTGATTTGCAATTGGAATGTGTGTTTTTGCCAGGGGGTGGGTGGGAAGATCCGTCTGGACGTTTCTTTGCTTGCTGTATTCTTTTGGCTTCCTATCAAGTGACAAAACTCTTACACAGCAGAGAGTCATGCTTTAACCGACTATACCGAAGGGGCCACCCGGGCCATGAGCACTTGGCTTCCGGGCTACGGTATTCACCGGATGAGGGGAGCTTTTCTGTCCCTCTTTCTTTCGGCCCCCCCCTTTGGGAGTTTCTCTTTTCTTTTTTTTCTCTCATGGTGATACGATACTGTAATCTCTCTCCCCCCACGGACGGGAAAAGACAGACCCTTCTTTTCTTCTTTCCTTTGCCCGGTTAAGCCCGTTCGATGCCCAGCTGCCGAAGCTCAAAGAGCGCAATCTGTGTAAGAGGATTTCCCGGGAAGAAGCAGCAAGGAGGAAGCTAAAAGATTCCCGTTTCGGGGCGGTGGCGCGGAGGGTCCACGTGAGTTGGGCTGCAGCTCGGGATGGGGAGCCGAGCGGTGCCGAGAGGGGAATGTTCATGGTAGATAATGATTAGCTAAGAATTGTGTCAGGAGCTGAAGCTGAAGCTGGGCGGAAGTTGGGGCAAAAGCGGCGCAAAGCAGGGCGCAAAAGGGCTGTTGTGAGAAAGTTCATCCGGTATTATTCCGCTCAACACAGTTAACATAAGGCTAAGCTAATTACATAATCCAGCTGCATTACATAAGTCGCTTGATTTCACGTGCCAATTGCTGTCCGTCCTGTTTTTGCGGGCGGGTCTACTCCGGAACCCGGGCCTCTCTTTACCCCAGCCCCAACTTTTTCCCTTGACCTTGACCAAAAACGACCCAAACTCTTTCCTCTCCAGTTTTTGGGTTGCTTGTGGGGGACGTCAAGTCGCTTTTACTACTGCAAAAGTTATACCTCGGCATGTGGCCTTCGCACGCCAACGACTTGCCGTCGGCTTTGCGACTCCAACGAACTTCCAGTCGCGGCTAAACCATCACCCTCTCTCTCTAAAACTAAATTTGCCTCACGAGAGTTTCTTCTTTTTATTGCATTCTTCTTTTCTCCCCTATACTACTAATTCTTGTTGCTTTCAATTTTGATACCGCCTTTTCTCTTATTTTCACCTTAGGGGAGGATAAGCAAACGTCATCGAAGTCCCCCTTCAGCGATAAAACAGCCAACTTCTTCTTCTTGCGTCCGATGAGCGCGTGCTCTACCACACATCCCACCTAAAACCAAAACAAAAGAAGAAAAAAACCGTCAATCATGGTCGCCGACACCCTCGTCTACCACCCCACGGTGGCCCATTACCTGCGCTTCGTCGCCACCACCGTCGGCCGCGACAAGATCCTCCGCGCGATACAGTACTTTGCCCGCTTCTACGCCTGGTACCTCCTCCGCACAAACGGCTCGCCCTCGCAAATGGCCCCCTGGAACGCCATCAAGAAGCAGTTTGGCCTCGCCCGCAAGATCATGCGCGTCGGAAAAAACGTCGAGCACTTCAAGGCCGCCGCCCAGGCCGCCGACGCAAAGGCCGCCGAGCCCTTCCTGCGCTACGCCGCCGTCGGCCGCCAGGTGGGCTATGCCGGCTACCTCACCTTTGACGCCCTGACCGTGGGCGACGCCGCCGGCATTCGCAAGTGGCACGCCGCCAAGACGCTGCAGCAGCACGCTTCCCGCTTCTGGGCCATGGGTCTCATCTTCAGCATCGCCGGCCAGGTCTACACGCTGTACCGCCTCAAGCAGCGCGAGGCCAAGATCGATCGCAAGGACGGCGAGGGCGTCGTCGAGAGCAAGCAGATCCTCAAGTGGGTTCCCCATCCCCTCCATACACCATCACGTAAGAAAAGAAAAAACTCGATGCTAATGTGTATAATCTCTCTAGAGAGCGAGCCGCCAGCCATCTGCAGCTCGTCTCTGACGTTTGCGACTTGACCATTCCCTCCTCCGCCCTCGGCTGGGTTGGCTTCGACGACGGCTTCGTCGGCCTGGCCGGAACAGTCAGCAGCGCCATCGGCGTCTACTCTCAGTGGAAAAAGACGATCTAGGCGGACCGGCTCGAGACAAACAAGGAGCTTTCTAATACATGCTTGCCGCACTAGCAGCGCCCATCCCTGTATACAAGGGAGCATGTTGAGCGAGAATGTGTCGTCAGGGAACCAGAAACAGGGCCTGTGTATAATACCAACGATGATGACCGGCTATATGTGGATTTGTATATCGCGTTTCACCATGTCCTTGTCAAATATTTGTATCTTTTACGTCATCTTTATTTACTGTTCGGCTAGCACGTGCCTGGGTCAACACATCTTTTGTTGCAAGAATGTCAAAGTAAGATAAAAGAAGAAAAAAAGCAAAAATAAAAGCAATCAAGCGCAAAGAAAGAGACCAAATAGAACCCTGCGTAAATCCCGTTAAATCATACAGCCTGACTCTCTTGCCTCCCATGTGATATCATGTGTTCCGGAGCTCCCCCCTTTCCAGCCGGTTAGTAGTCCCATGTTCATTCTGCTCATCAAGAGTCTCGGTCCTGGTATATCGTCCTCCGGTATCCATTCCTATCGAAATAGCAAATAGCAGGCTGCTTGACCTATTGTAAAGTCCAGAAACTCCCACCTCCCCCGCACTAGCTACGAACTCGTAAGAACTAGTCTGTCCAGGCCAGGCGGCCAGCTTTTCGAATTGATAAAAAGATCCGTTTGCGGTCATCTATCACCTTTGGTCAAGGCCAATTCCGCCAAGAGAGCGAGTGCATACATTAAAGACACGTTGAAAGAAAGACGGGCGATGGGGGAGATAGAGTAAAAAGCTCCATGATGTGTGCTCTGAGACAAGAGACAGAATAGAGAGTAAAATTTACCAGTAGCGCCCGCCACGATCGTAATCACGCGCATACGCTCCCTCTCGGGGGTATGCTGGTTCTCTTGGGGGGAATTCTCTTGGTGGCCGGTCATACGCCGGTCGACCACCGTTTGCATAAGGGTCGGGAGGTGGCGGGTAATCGCGGCGGTAAGGCTCTTCATAACGGCCTCGAGGTGGCGGGTAATCTTCCACCGGTCGCCGGGGGGGCGAACGATAGCGTGGTGCTCTATCATCGTAGTACTCGCGACGAGGGCTTCGGTCACGGTAGCCGTACGACGGGCCGGTCTCACGGTTGTATCCTCGGTGAGGCGGTCCTCGGCGGTCATAGTTATCGAATGCTGGGGGAGGGTAAGGCCGGCGCCCTGGCGAACGGGATCGGCCACGATCCCCCCGCGGCGGCATATCGGGTTGAGTCTAAAGGTCACATGGGTGAGCAAGCGGCCCATGCGAGGGGACATGCCAACAACTTACATCAACGAGGCACTGGACGCGACTTCCTTTGAATTCGCGGCCATCTAGCTTTTCGACAGCTGTTCTCAGGTCTGCGGCAGTCTCGAATTCGACAAAGCTAAAGGCCTTTTTGTTAGCAACAATGGCAAGGGTTGAAATAGCGGATTCAAACTTACCCTCGACCATTGGAGTCACGGCCAGTCTCAGAGTACACCACGTCAAGGCTTGATTGACGGGCGAAATCTTTCAGGTCCTATTCGCAGAATCCACGTAAGTCGTTGCCAAGGAGGAGGAGAAAAGCCTCGAGTAAAAAACAGTCCACGTATCGGCACGCCAAAAAATCCATCAAGTCAGGAACCAGGGATGCCAGGCCGGAGTCGCCAGTCCAGAACGAAGGGGGAGGGAAGGACGATGCGGGGTGCATACGCCGACCCAAAGCAAGGCACAGCAAACCAAAACGCTCCAAGTATATGATAGAAAAGGCACGCAAGTCCCGTGGAATCCAGGAGCAATAAACTGGGAGAGGGAACAGACCTGCCAACTGGTATCATTCGGAAGTCCTGTAATCTGCATTCGATGAGGAGTTCTACGCGGTCGCGGCGGAGCACGCTCGTGTCCCATACCGCCTTCTCGGTGTCGAGTTCCACGGGCAAACTGAACGGTGAGGCGTTCTCCCATAAAATCGGATCCATCTTTATTGCAATCGCGGATTAGCACTCAAGCGGAACGAAGGCGACGGGGTAATTGGACGGGCAAGGCAAAGATGTTGGGGGCGATGACATACGAAAGGCTATATGACGGCGGCAAGAGAGCGCGACTGGTTAGCAACGATTGAATCCATAGCAAGCGGCGGTTGAACGGGGCGTGCGAACCTGGAACGACATCGCGGGCGTCCATTGCGTCCTTGTACTCGATGAAGCCGAAGCCATTCATCAGCTTCACTTCGGTGATCTCTCCGGTACCGTGGGTCGCAAAGTGAGCCTCGACATCGGCCTTGGTAGCTGCGGGAAGCCAGTTAGTGGTAGCCACGGGGAGCGGGAAGCAATGGAGATGGACCATGTCGAGGGAGGTTCCCCAAGTACAGCCTGGTGGACGAAACCTCAGTCATGGCGGGCGACCTAGAGTCCGCGTCTGGCAAGAGTCCGGAATCTGGTGCTTTCTCGTGAGCACTGGACTAGGCTTCTGGTTCCTTTTCTCTCTCTCTCTCTCTCTTTTTCTTCTCTCTTCAGCGGTCCGGTGAATTCGTCCAAGGAACAAGGCGGGCGAGCGAGATATAACAAGCGCAGCCGGAGGAAGGATGAAGAAATGGACGGCGGCTAGTGTGAGGAGCTGAGATCCAAGGCCAGAGCTTGCTATCAAGCGAAGAAGAAGAGCGAAAGAGGCTGGCGGCTGCAAGGTTGCGTGGGGACGGTCAGAGGCGGCAGAATCGCCGAAAGCGGCATAGTAGGCCCCGCGTTTGAGTGTCTTAGCGGCAAAGAGGCAAAAAAAGAGGCACGAGCAAGAGCAAAAGAGGGTCGAGAGGCTGCCACCTGCCGGGCCTTTTTTCTGCCGTCCGCGTGCGCTCGCAGAGACGCAGGTGACCATGCAATCGGGACCCGCCCTGCCCATGCTCTCCGCTGCTCTTGCCTTGCTACTGTGCGCCGTACGTCAGTACATACATAGGCGACCTGGTAGGCGAGGACCCGATTACGTAGTTGGAGGTACGGAGCGCGATGGTGTGCGTGCAGCGCTGGGAAAGGTACCATTAGACTGCAGACCAAGGTACCGTGATATCTAGTAGTAGCACCTAGGTACCTAGTAGCTTTCAATTACACGCGCATACACGTACCTTACTTTGCGCTACTCCCACCATCTGCTAGGTACCTTGTCCTGGACTGCAGTTGCCTCATCCAGACGGGCGCTAGAGCTCTACCTGTCGCTAAGGAACGAGTTACTTATACTTAGTACTTAGTTGCATGGTATCTTTTGTCTCAATCTTCCTTGCAGATCCAAATGTCATGGCCGAAAAAGCACGCATAGCCGCACTCCAAGCGAGCAAAGCTACATGAGACAATCTAAAGCAATTGCGCATCAACAAGTTATATCTTCCTATTGCTAGGGTTTCATAGCCCTCGTTACCCCTTCCAATCGACATGGCCAACTTTGCATGATGCTCTAAGGACTTGACCTGGATGGCACGGAGCGCTAAGAGGTTTGCTTGCGTATTGATGTCATTACAGTACGCAAACAATGGCTCAATGAGAAACACGACCAGACAGTGTTTTGGGGTGAAACAACTCTTGATAGTACAGACTGTACTTGTACTAGGTAGTATTTGTTAGTAGTGCAACTCACTTTGCGTGAAACATGGATGATTCCTCTACAAACACGGTCAAACATCACCACGGCATGGGTTAAGGGGATGATCCCTAATAACACTTATATAACTCCAATGACCACAAGAAAAAAGAAACAACAACAGAAAAGAGAAAATTCCCATACCGCGAATCATATTGCTATTTATTAATACGTAATCTAAGCGTGGATGAGTAACCAAGATGTATGCCTCATGTGCTCCCCAATGTGATTAAAGCGCCACCCCCAAACAATTCTCATCCCTTTGCTGGCGCTCATCCGACTGCCAGTCCCGAAATCCTCACACCATCAAGGGTAGAAAAGAAAAGTGGAAAACGAAAGAAAAGAAAAGAAAAAAACTCCGGCTACGTACGTGAAATGCCGCAACATGCCATATACAAAGGCGCCCTCTCCTTCTATTTTCAATAATTGTCATTACTCGCCGGCATGGCGAGAGAAACTCCCCCCCCTCCGCATCATCAGGCGGAGGATCCCTTTCTCATCCCTCTTTTTCCCATCCTTTGCCTTCGCTCAAGCCAACTGTCCCATATCACCGCTGACGCTATCGCTAGCCCGAAAGATGCGTCTTTTTTTTTCGTCTTTTGTGTCTGAGAGAGGATAGATTAAAGCCTCAGCTCCTTGAGGATCTGGTCCGCCATATTTTTGTACTGCCACGTGTTTCCAGTCATTCTCTTGAACTGGATGCCGTGCAGAGAGAGCAGAGGAACCTTGACGATGAAAATCTCAAACTCCATCACCATGCTGCCTCCCAAATCGCTCTGTACTTGCGTTGTCGTCTCTCCAGGCACGCGTCTCGATACTCCTCCGCTCCTTCGGGGGATGCTATCCACCGACTCCTCGGAATTGGAGTAGCTGTGATCACGGGTGCGGTCACGATCCTGTCGTCCCGGGGTCCTTGGGGTAATGGGGGACCGTTCCATCTGTGGGATGTCGTCGCGATCACGGTCCTCACCCCGCATGAGGCCACCAAAGCTAAAGCGACGGCGGTGCCCCGGAGTTTGGGATGGCGGGCTGCTGGGAGTATCCTGAACCCTGTTCAAGTCGATGCTTGGTGTGTACTTGCAGCTGAAGCCTCCTCGAATTTCGATATAGTCGACATTGAGTTGCTTCAATACCCTTCGAATATCCGTACGAATGGCCGGGACCGACTTGCCCGAGGTGGTTGAAACGCTGAAAAGACCCTTGAGGTATACTGGCTTGGCCAACTCAGCGCTGTCTAATCTATCAGTGGAAACGCCGCTTTGCTCCTGCTCCAAGTCCGTTTCTTCAGGCACATTAGACTCTTGGGCGGCTTCTCTACGAAGTCGACGTTGCTGAACGCTCTCCCGGCGCGCGTGTCCCAGTGATTTGGCTCTCATTGCCACCGACTGCGAATGTCCATGGCCCCTTTGCACCGTTGAAGACTGGTCGTTTGAAACTGATTGGTCCGAGCCGGAGCCGCTCGTCAAGGGTGGCTCTCTCGCTGACATGGTGCTGCCATTGTCCCGTCGGCGAAGGTCCGCTGAGTTGACGCTGGTCGATCGTCCGAGACCTGATTTCCGCGATCCACGAACGCCGCCAGCAGACAGCGGGGGGCTCAGAAGCTCGCTATGTTGCGGCTGGCTGCCGCCAGACGGTAGCGCAATGCGACCTTGGTCGTCACGGTCTCGCCGTCCTCGTCGGATGCTGAAGCTCTTTCTAGGCGCCGTAGGAGCACCTTCAGGTGGCGAGTGAACATGTACCACAGGAGGATGGGAGCGGTCTCTCTCCCTTTCCGCAGGCTCCCTGCGTTTCCGAGTGCTGAAGCGGCGCAGTAGGCCGGCAGCGGTGCCTTCTTTCTTCTGTAGCTGCTCGGCCTTTGTCTCGGGTGGTATAGGGACGTGCTGCTGCTTCACCAAATCTGGCGCATCATCTTCACCATGAGTACGAGCTCTGGGTCGACTTCGCCCGCCTGTAGGTCTCTCACCCGGCATTTCATAGGCCGCAGGATTGGTGTGAGCTGCCTGAGGGGGTGCCAAATCTGGCACGCCCTCTGGTAGTTTTTCACGTTCGCGCTCACGCTCACGCTCGCGTTCTTTCTCCTTTTCCTTTTCCTTTTCACGCTCTCGTTCTCTCTCCTTTTCACGTTCGCGCTCACGCTCTCGTTCCCTTTCCCGCTCCTTTTCTTTTTCCTTGTCGCGTGACGTAGTCGGTGGTGGACTCATCTCCGCATGTTCACGATCTTGCTTCTCTTTGACGAGATAGTAGATGGAGGTGAGTGGGTTGAATGCGTTGAGCGGATCGGCGCCAATTTGCAATGCCTCGGAGCTAGGCCCGCTAAGGGTGTCGCGACTGTTGGAGTTCCTCCTCTTGTAAAAGTCAAAGCCAAAGCCACGCTTCTTCTCACTTTCTTTGGTGGGCTGCGGCAGTTCCTTTTCTCTTTGGTACGCCTTGACAGCTGCTTGGTAGTCCTCAGACTCGATGACTTTTGTAAGCTGACCTCGTATGGTCTCGGGCGAACCGAAGTTGAATCCTTGCATGGCATGAATGACTTCGGGCTCGAGATCTGCGGTAAGCGGCTCTCGGACCGGAAGATAGTTGTCTGGAGGCCCACTGAATCCCTTAACCATCCATGGGTGGTTCATAACTTCTTGCATGGTGGCTCGCTGCTTGGGGTCCGTTACCAGCATTCGGGACATGAGGTGTTTGCATTCTGGATGAATTAATGTCAGACAATACTCAATGACAAAGCTTTGCTTTCGTGTCGGGGGATCGTGAGTACTCACCATTTGAAAGCCAGCTTGGGTAGTCGACGAGTCCCTTCTTGATCTTTGCATGAAGAGCAGGCATGCTCTGATCGTCGAAAGGTACTTTACCACAAACGAGAACGTAGAGAACGATACCGAAACTCCACACGTCAACTTCGGGCCCCGTATATGCTCTTGCCTGCAGCAGCTCGGGAGCGGCGAAGTAAAGACTGCCGCAGAAAGTCTTGAGATGGCCGCGAGGCGAGAACAAGTTACTCAAGCCAAAATCGATGATCTTGATGTCGCCAGTCTTGCTGATGAGGATGTTTTCGATTTTCAGATCGCGATGCACGATACTGTTTCGATGACAGTAATCAAGGGCACTGGCTATCTGGCGACTGAATTTGCGGGCCTGCTTCTCCTTGAGTTTGCCGTGGGAGATGATGTAGTCGAGCATTTGGCCACCGTTGACATACTCAAAGAGCATGTACCAATGGTAGTTTGTGCGGACCACATCCCGCATTCCGCAGATATGAGGGTGGTGGAGAAGGGTGACAATGGCAGCTTCGCGAGCAGTTCGGATCTCCTTGGACTGATCCGCGCGCTCTTTTTCCGCCCGACTCTGGTGGCCATCGTCGGTAGAGCCACGAGGGATGATTTTGCAGGCAACCTTGAAGTGAGGCACAGAGTTAGCAGGCATCGTCAAAAACCAAGGATATCAAGCTTAGTATAAAGGGGGTTTAGAGATGCGAACCTGTTCACTCCCATCTTCTTTGCGAGCCAACTTCACCTTGCCCATGCTGCCAGCGCCGATGGTCTTACCCAAAATCCACTTGCCAGACTGCGTGGGAATGGTGGTGCGCGACCTGGATTGTTTGGCGCTGGACGAGGCATGAGTCGCGTCGGCGGCGCCATGGGAAGCGCTGTGCGACGCAGCAGCAGCGCTGCCATTGTTGGCGACGGCCGAGGGAGGCATTTCGGAGTGGCCTTGACGATTGTGTGCGGAACGGATACTGGTGCTCCTCCGATGGGATCGAGAGGCGTCTGCTGCTCTGTTATTAGAGGAGAGCGGTGGGCGATCTCGGCTGGAGCTGCGCTTGGACTGGGATGCGGCTAGATGCGAAGTGTCGTAGTCATTTTGAGCCGACGGAGGCTCCTGAGCTGGGCGGGACGACGAGGAGCTGCGGCGACGGTGGCGAGGCTGCTGCTGCTGCTGCTGAGCCTGTTGTTGTTGAGTTTGGCTCTGGCTCTGGCTCTGGCTCTGGCTCTGGCTCTGAGCCTGGGCTTGAGCTTGGTTTTGGTAGTGGTGATGATGATGGTACGTGGAGTTGGAGTTGGGAGACGGGGCAGCCGCGCCGCCAGAAGAGGATACTGGCACGGGAGGGGGGCGGGAGCGTGTGGAATATGACCGGGATGGGGCTCGCGAGGGGGAGGTGTGGGAGAAGTCGGAGCCTTGAGACGCTGTGGTTGTCATGGCGAGCGGTCAAAGTGCACTGGTCAGGTCAAGCTGTGCTTGGGATGCCAGGGCCGGCCTCGGGCTGCAAAAAGGCTCACAGAGGCCGTCAAAGGCTGGGCGAGGCGAGATTAAGCAAGGCCCGCGTGCGTCACGGAAGCATCAGTGTCCCTCCTCTCTGCTGCGAGATAAAAAAGGAGAAGATCCACGCGTTGTCAGGGGAGGGCTGGGGGAGAGCAGGGTGAGAATGGATACAGAGGATGGATGAGGTAACGCAGCGCAGCGCCGGGGGGGCTGTACGGAGTATCCCACGAGGTATTGAGATATCACGGCGCGGCGATGCCAGAGGTACTGCCAGCAACGGAGAAACGGAGAGATGGGCGAGATTTGGCACGGCTGGGTACGGGAGCTGATGCTCCGCAGTGCTATCCATGAACCTTCGAGCCAGCGCTGCGAATCCACCGCGGCGGTACTCGTACTTGGTACCTGCGTGCGAGGGCCTGCCAGTGCACAGCAGCCCGGACTCAGCATCAAGGTACAGGTACTCGTACCTACGTCAGGTACCACCTCGCCTGGCCTCGCCTCGCCTCTTCGTACATACAAGTACATCATACAGACAAAGGCACCAGTGCAGACAGACTGGCGCACATTCACAGCTCAAGCTGGCTTTGTCGCCCAGCTTGTTGCATCAGGCACTGCAAGGCAAGGCTCGTGGCCGAACCTGGCTCGCTGGAACTAGCACACCAGGGGCCGTGAATCGCTCAGTGGTTGGACGGGGGCTGGGCGACAGCTCATCTAGGCGGCATCCCTCAGGCCCCTCAGGCCCCTCAGGCGCCATCACAGCTGCGGGCTCCACAGCACATGTTCGTTTGAATGGGTTCAGGTTGGGTCGTCGAACCTAAAGATTTGTTTGTTTGCCCAGGCCTGAGCTGGCATTCGGGCATCTGTGCTGCAGCTGTCTCTTCTGCCGTCCCACCACAAAGGCCGACCTACTGACGGCGTGCCAGCAAACTCCATCCCTTGTCCATCCCGTCGACGATAAACAAGGCTTGAAACATCAATGCACCAGCTTTCTTTCTTTCTTTTTGTCTTGGCTCGTTGTTGACCCTTTTGTGATCTCCTGTCTCCCTATTTGTCTTTGTTTCCCCCCCGTCCTCTGCCCTATTTCATCATTGTGTCTGCGGTGGCTGGGTGACCAATTTCTATTTCCGTCGTTCTCAGAGACCACCGGCATGAATCATGGATGCGTTATCAACTGGGGCAGTCAGCAGAAAAGCGCCCCTATTGCAGACCACTTATATCTAATAGGGAGCTGAAAGCTAATTGCACTAAAGGAGACTCGTGTGGCTTTCAGCAGCCCGTGAATCAAAAGGACATCGATAGCTCCGACTAGGCGCAGGATCGTCTGCCTTGGAACCACAACTCATACCCATCACTGAGAACAGCAGCATCGTGCCTCTACTATAGGTACTGACACGTAAGCTGACGAGTGAAGCCCATCACCATGACCAGAGCATGCGCAGGGCGTTCTCGCAAAGAATGGCCGTCATTTGCTTTTCATTGTGAATGATTCACCGAACAAACTCTAAACAAAGCCGGAAACGGAAATAGCACACAAAAAGCAAAAAAGGGCATTGGCTTTACTAAGGTTAGAAGCTATTGGATCCGAGTAGCTGGAAGCACTCGGTAACAAGCAGCCAAGCCGCTGAGTGCGTCATGCTGGAGTTGGACTCTGGTCGATGCGAGTGGGTCAAAGACCGGCATCAGGCGGACCAGTAATGTTCAAAGTACTCGTACTTGACCAGTTAGAGGGCGGCAGTAGGCTTTAGAGGTACCTAGAACCTAGCAGTTCTTCAACTTTATCGATAGCGCATCTGCAACAAGCCTGTTCCTGATTTGTGCCGACACTTGCAAGCCCTTGCCCATTTGTCCCACGACCGACATCGCCATCCCTTTTGCTGCCTCGTTGCTGGACCGCCGATTGACGCGCATTTGCCATGCTCTGAGCTGCCTTAAATTTCCCCAATGCCACAGACATTCGCACGCGACACTTAACCGAATACGAAAGCCTATGTCCTACAAACGATCGCGGGCGACATTTGAGGCCGACCTCCATGCGCCTTACGCCATCTTCGGCACCCCTTTGCCTGAGGACGGCGAACGCGACGATGGCTCATACCTTCCGTTGTGGAAGCAGGAGGTGAGGGATGATAAGGGTAGGCGGAGACTGCATGGAGCCTTTACCGGTGGCTGGAGCGCAGGGTAAGTTGTAGCTCTCTCGACCTCAATCTAAACCACTATAACGTCTGACTATCAAGAAAGCTACTTCAACACGGTTGGATCCAAGGAAGGATGGACGCCGTCTACCTTTGTGTCGAGCCGCTCGAATCGCCGCAAAGATGAAACTGGTCACTCCCAGCAGCGTGCCGAAGATTATATGGACGAGGAGGACCTTGCGGATGCCGCGGAAGCGCAGACGCTCAAAACCACCCAGGCGTTTGCCGGTCTGGGATCTTCCACCCAGGAAGAACTCCGTGCCGGGGGGCTGATGGGTCTCTTCAGAGCTGACGGAGATACAATGGGCCTAAAGTTGCTGCGGAGAATGGGCTGGAAAGATGGCCAAGGGATTGGACCAAAAGTGCGACGAGGTGCACGCCTGGACCTCGGCGGGAAATCTAACATGATAGATGGAGAAACCCATCTCTTTGCTCCTGATAACACCGAGGTCCTGCGGTTTGTCCGCAAGACAGATCGTATGGGCTTGGGACATAATGGCCAGGGCAAGCTCTCTTCCTTGCGCCGAGAAAGCAAAGCAGATAGCGACGAGGAGGTCGATTCTCGCGACGGCGTGTTGTCGATATTATCTCGAGGAGAGACCAAGAAGAAGCCACAGCGAGGCGGCATCGGAGTTGGCATACTCAACGACGATGGGTCTGATGACGAAGATCCTTACGAAATCGGACCCAAGATCAAATATAATCGTGTTGTTGGCGGCGAAAAGAAGAAGAAAGGAAAGAAGCCGTCTGCAACAGCGAATCCGTCGCTAAAGAATGCTCCAGTATTTATACCGAAAACTTCTAGAGTTGGCGGCAACCTGCGGAGATGTCAGGACGGGCGGCTTCCTCTGGATGGGTTTGTCCTGGCAAATGCCATGCAAGACTTAACCATTACTCTGGCAAAATATGCACCACCGCCAGCCCCTCCCGGCTGGAAGTCATCTCAGGTCACTAATGTTGAAGACCGAGCCACCACGTTTGTTTCCGCTGCCGAGGCAGCCAAGTCGTCAACCCTCGATGCAAAATCTCGAGCTGCCATCCTTGGAGAAAAGGCCCTTCCTGGAAAATCCGTGTTTGACTATATATCTGCCGCTTCTAGAGAGAAGTTGGCTGCAGCGTCAGGAAGGCTAGATTTGCCCCCTGGCCTGGGCGAGATCCCAGCGCAATTTGCAGTGTCAGAAGAAGAAAGGCAAACAATGCTATGGGAGCAAGTTCCCAAGCTCGATCGTGAGACGGCAATAGCGGCCATTGCGAGGGGATTGCGAGGACCGTACGCAGACGACGAAACTAAGAGGGCTCGCTACAAACGCTATCTGGAACACCACACGAATCCCAAACTGTCACTTCCGGAAAAACCCAGGGGAATGTCGGATGACGAGTTTCTTCGAGAAATGACAGAATTCCATAATTGCGCGAGGATATTCAAACCAATGACTGGCTTCATGGCGTCAAGATTTACGACTGCTAAAGCACCACATAGCGTTTCGGCTGAGCCAGCAAGGGATAAGGAACTAATCTCTGTGCCCGAGCCAAAAATTTCAGACCCGGCAGAAGAGGCTGCCAAGATGGGCATGTTTGGCAAAATGACGAGATCGGTGGAAGACTTTTACCCTACCCGACTACTCTGTAAACGATTCAACGTCAAACCACCGTCACACGCTCGGCGAGACGACGAGCCCGAGGCGAGCAGAGCAACCCCAGGTCCGAGTGCAAGGCCGGCTTATGGCAGTCCTATGGAGGACGTACAGATGCCCTTACTCTCGGCATCTAGAACTCGGGATGAATCGACTGTGGGCGTGGACACAACGGTCGCCATAGCGACAGGGGCGACGACAAAATCGGGCAAGCAGAGCCCCATGATGGAGAACCAAGTGAACCCAGACCGGAATGAAGCCGTTGAGGGCAAGACGGCCAATGCTGACGTCCTACGGGCCATCTTTGGCGACAGTGATAGCGAATGATGCGGGCAAGGATTTAAAAGAAGGGACTGGAGTTTTATGGTGTTGTGGTGTTGTAGCATTGTGGTATCAAAGATTTTTTTTTTTTTTTACAGCATTACGGTGCTGAATATTTCGCTACATAGATTCAATCACCTCAATCTAATTGAATACATCCATGAATATCTTTCCACAGGCACGTACAGTAGCAGTTGTGGCTTGACGTCTGGTTGCTTCTTGCCCATCAGCCTCGTCCTTAGCGGATCAGGTAAAATGAGGAAAATTTCAGGCGTGAAATTGGCCCCTATACTCTTTGAGCTGTTTTCATTGGTGGTTCCGCAGGTGCTCTGTAGTTTTGTTGCCAATCACTTGTTGGCGCTGGCGGCTAATGTGAAGTTTGGTGTGGCTGGAGCTCTGCCATTGGCTGGCGAGTGTGCCCAATTTAGCTACCCGTTCCATCTGCAGTGGGGCTGGTGACCAGCCAGGCCGTTTGATGAGAGGCTAACCCACCTGTATCTGGCAGAGGGAGCCCCTAAAAGGATGCTGGAGCATTCACTGGCCAAGGCCTGTGCTGGGTACGAGCATCACTTGATGCACTGCGCTGGTTCGCTGGGCGGCCTATGGCGTTGACTTGTTACTTGTTCGTCCCCACCCAAACCATCAACTCATCAGCGGCAATCCAATCGTCAACATATCAATCGACCAGACCAATCTGCACCATCAACCAGCGGGCTCACAGCGTTTAGTTTGGCCCCGAGAGACGACGGAAATCCATCTTCAGTCGCTGCCATTGCATCGCCGCGAAAGCCTTTGTTCGCTCGCGAATGCCCGCCTCCTTTCTGCACGCCTACTACTAGCAGCATCCATCTCTCGCCCGGTGATAGAGCCAGATGCACTGACCCGCCCGAGTCAATCTCCCTGTGTCAGCCCCCATCGCCATCGCCATCACCGCTACCTCGCCGAGACGAGCTCCTGCACTCGTACAGCACTGTCAAGAACAATCCGCCACGTTGTCTGGGACGGAAGAGTCTGGAACCGGACCGTCTGAGTCCCCGGAGCTGATCGAGGCCAAGGTGCATCACGAGCACGCCGCCACGGCCACCGCTGCCCGACAACAACTGGATCTCGACCTAGATCGCGACGCCGCAGAGAACGAGAGTGCTGCCCACGAGGCCGAGCAGTCGCCGCCGCCACAGTACCCCATCTCGGAGGCCTCGTCTTCCCGCCCTCCGCCATTCTCGTCGCTCTTCTCGTCGGTCCAAGACCATCCCAGTGGTGAGGCGTTTGGCAAGTTTCCTGCCGTCGTTCCAGAAGGAAGTGCTTCCGCATCTGTCGCTGCGCCAGCCTACGGCTACGAATCTCGCGCCCCCGAGCCCTTTGACCCCGATCAGGCTGCGGCGCGTGCCTTCCAAGACCCTGTAGCAGAGACCAAGCGTGCGCTCCCCAGAGACACCAAGGGAGAGTCAAGTCGCAAGGACGACGACGCCGAACCGCCACCCGCATACTCTGAGGGAGACAGTCCTCTCTATACATTCTCATACGTAATGGCGGCCGCCGGAGGAGCTTCGAGTATCATAACTCAGGTACAGCAAGGTGGACCACCTATCAATGCCATCGGAGGTGAGCTTCCTTGTAATATCTATATCTCTATATGCCAAGAAGAAGAAAAGGCAACGGGGAAAAGAAACGAGTAGAGCAGATTTGCTAACAATGTCCTAGATGTCGGCGCTGATGAGACAATCACCATGGACCTACGGTAAGTGACAATAATTTTCAAATAGAATGCAGCAAAGAGACTAACAAACGGGAAACAGGGGTACCAGATTCGTCCTTTCGCGTGATGAGCTGCTCACTTTGCCCGAGTTTGTCCTGTTATCTCTATTCCCCAATGGGCTATTTCCAGAAGGCCACATGAGCGGGTTTCCCGATAGCGACGCGGTGCAAGTTGACGTTCGTAGACCACCAGTCTTGGATCCCTAGTCATTTACTAACGACAACACAGTATGACCCTGCATCACTGCAGTACATGTTGGACTTTTTCCGAACTGTTGCTCAGTCAATCCCCACCGAATCATCGCCGGGCACGTCTCAAGATGGGGAGATTGTTCCCCTGGATCCAATGGGTTCCCGTGAGGACTCCTCCAAGAGGGCTGGTATCATCGTCCTAAGAGAGGATCTTGACTTTTATGCAATCCCTCCCAAGTCCGATATCAGCCAACCCGACATGATCGAAGTTAAGCGCGCAGCGGCGCGTGCATTGCTCAAGCAGGATGGCATCTTTTCTGGGCTAAAACGAAGCGATGAACCCGGAACGACTGAAGCTCATCTTATTGAGATGCTGACGGCAGGGTATGTTATTTCCTTGACGACTCATTCTATTGTAGCTTGCTTTGTAAAAGGGAGGATAGTGGCTAACTTTGTGTATTATAGCGGCTTTAACCACGACGACTGCTGGGGCCACCGGGCTGGCGAACCTAACAAGGCCGTCATCTGCAGCCTGGCACTCGCTCGATTGCGTAGCGACATTCGTGGCAACGAAATGGGCAACAATGCCGTCGGCATGGCTCAGAAGCTGCTCCTGTTCTGGCGGAAACCGGCTAGGCGATGCTGGTGGGAGGGCATCGAGCTGGACAACGTCGAAGGCGTCGAGGGTAAGCTCAAAGTCTGGATCAGGCGAGTGTGGACGTTGGAGATGAGCGTGATTGGACTCCGTTGATGGCGAGGCGCGGAAGGGGGGGCTTAAGAGAATTTATCGAAAAGCGACTTGCTGCTGTTGGGCATATTATGTTTTGTTCTCTTTTCTGTTCTTTTCTTGTTGAAGGGCGTCAGGGTATACAACAGATCCGGATTGGTGTCGAATTCCAGCGCAGAACGCCTGGGCTACATATTACTTCTTTCTCATTTTTATTCCCTTTTCTTTTTATATACATAGCTACTACCTACCTTTTTTCTGTGCTTTGTAGGGATTACGAAGATTTTTGCTCTTGTTTTGTTTTGCTTTAATGTTGCGATTCCCTCCCTTTTCCGGATTTGCGTTGATTTGCGTTGGGCATCAGATGTCTCTTGCTGTTTCACGTCTCCCTAGCTTTCTCTGATGAGTGTTCTCCCTGTCTTGTTGTATATAGGTGGTTTCTGGCATTTTTGCATTTCCATACCGTGTGTTGCCTGTAGAGGTAGCGTTGGAATAAGCGAAACTCGAAGAATCCATGGATTGTTGAGTAAAGATGTATGTTGAGATGTCCATTTAAGGTTTTTGTTCAGAAGAATAGTATGTTTGTGAGCCTTGAAGACTCGTACGTTTTTTGGGGCTAATTCAATAGCCATACGTCCCAGTTTTGTTTGTTCTATACTTATTTGTTGATACGTTTATACGTTTATATGCTTATGTTAGTCAAGGCCAATTATTATTATTATTCAATTGAAGATATTTCTGCCAAGTTGATTCTTTCGTCTGGTGTCGGTATTTGGGCTAAATAGGTAGAACTGCAGCATAGACTGTCCACTATAGGCTAATGTCGCACTATTACTTTGGCCCTTCGACAAATCTTACAAGCAGCCCAGGCATAAAGTACCTCCTCGTACTAAGAATGCACTGCGGGGAGTTAATGACACGGAGTCGATTCGGCCGGTTGCCCCCCTTAAACACTAGCAGATCGGCGCCGTGATTGAATTGGGTTTTGGCTGGCTGGAATCATTACACCTTCACAGCAACAGACCAATCGCGGGTGTCTTTTTGTCTTGTTCTTACTTCCTAAATTGGTAGTGTTGGCATCGCTTCTTTTGCTTCTCTATCTTATCTCATTTGATTTCTTCTTTCGACCTCAATTGTTGTCGAGATGAAGAGGAGCGTCGACTCATGATGGGGATAATCAATGGTCTGAGCTTGCCGCGGAGGGTTGGGCGCTTGGTGCTCTTCAGCGTCATTCTGTTGACCGCATTGGCTGTCTACTACCTAACGTCTACCAACATACCGCAGCCTGTCTTCGTACCGAGCTCGTTCAATTGGTCGAAGGTGCAGCAGCATCATGGCGTCAAGGACATCAAGCCGCTGCCCACGGGCAAGCCAGCGGCGCTTCCTCAAGTCCAGGCGGAAGCCGGAGCCTTTGGCCATTCTGCGGTCAACGAGAAGCGCCGCAATGCGGTGCGGAGGGCCTTTAAGCGCAGCTATGATGCCTATAAATCGCACGCCTGGATGAGGGACGAGCTCACGCCCGTGTCTGGATCCGCGAAGGACCCATTTGGCGGCTGGGCGGCGACGCTGGTCGATTCCTTGGATACGCTGTGGATCATGGGCTTCAAGGACGAGTTCGCCGAAGCTGCAGGCGCCGTGGGCGCGCTGGATTGGTCGGTGACGGATTCGACGGCGGCCAACATGTTTGAGACGACGATCCGCCATCTGGGAGGGCTGCTGAGCGCCTACGACCTGAGCGGCGAGCGAGTGCTGCTGCGCAAGGCGGTTGAGCTGGGCGAGATGCTGTACATGGGCTTCGACACGCCCAACAGGATGCCTGGCTTCTGGCTTGACTTTGAAAAGGCCAAGGCGGGGAAATTGGTCGCCGGCACCAACGATCCGTCGGCGTCGCCGTGCTCGCTGAGCATGGAGTTTACGAGGCTGTCGCAGCTGACGGGCGATAGCAAGTACTACGATGCGACGGATCGCGTGACTCGCTTTCTGGAGAAGATCCAGAACGACACGCTGCTGCCGGGCATGTGGCCGACAACGCTCAACTTCAAAGCTGAGATGGCCATCGACAGCAGCTTTACGCTTGGTGCATTGGCCGACTCGCTCTACGAGTATCTGCCCAAGATGCACGCGCTGCTTGGGGGCGTGGACGGCGTCTACGAGAAGCTGTACCGCCCGGCCATGGACGCGGCAGTGAACAATCTCCTCTTTAGGCCCATGCTGCCGGATCAAAACGATATCTTATTCAGCGGCGAGTTCAATGCCGGCAGCGGGCTTCAGGCTGACAGCCAGCATCTCACGTGCTTCGTTGGAGGCATGTTTGCGCTTGGCGGGAAGCTCTTCGACATTGACGGCCATGTCGGCATCGGAGAGCGTCTCGCGCGCGGGTGTGGTTGGGCGTACGGCCGCTTCCCCACGGGCATCATGCCCGAGATCTTCGGCATGCTGCCGTGCAAGACATTGGACAAGTGTGAGTGGGACGAGGCGCGCTGGGCGAAGGAGGGAAGCAAGATGATGCCCAAGGGGTTCAAGCACGCGCGGGACGCGCGATACATTTTACGGCCGGAGGCGATTGAGAGCCTGTTTGTGCTGTATCGCATCACGGGCAAGGCGGATCTGCAGGACACTGCGTGGGACATGTTTGAGGCCATCATGAAGGCGACGGAGACGGAGCTGGCGAACTCTGCGATAGAGGACGTGACTGTTGAGGGGCCGACGAAGAAGCTTGATTCCATGGAGGTGAGTTTTTTTATTTTCTATTTTTGACTGTAATTGGGGAACAGCGTTTACTAATGTGTGTGCTATTCCCCCGTTCCTAGAGCTTTTGGATGGCTGAGACGCTCAAGTATTTTTACCTCATGTTTTCGCCTCCTGATGTGATCAGCTTGGATGAGTATGTGTTCAATACCGAAGCGCACCCGCTGAAGAGGCCGAGGGTAGGGTTGCGATGAAGCGGGAGGGGAAGGTAGGAATGAATGAGGGGATTGGGCTTTTTGTTAAACTTGGCGATTTTCTATACTACATCTACCTATCTGCCTTGTATACTGAAGGAGAGAAGTCTCTTTCCCATGCCGAGAATGAGCTTTTGCTCATAAGGATATGAGCTATGAGTGAGCTTTTATTTGGTATTGGCTAACATAAGGCACACATCGACGCTGGCTAGGTGTATATGAGATTTTTGATTCATGCTTCTCCTCATCAATACGCCAGGTTGCTGCGTGTATTTGGATCGGCATCCTAGGCATTGCGTATGCCCACATGGCTCAAGCAAGTTACGTGATTCGATGATTCACCAAGATTTTACGATGGTTGCATTCTATGCTTAACCGTGCAGTTTATTCCGCAACTCTATTTAGCCCAGATCCGGGGCAAACCCCCACTCGGCCAACGGCTATCCAGGCATCTCCAAAGCTTGGCTCCTGACAACCAAGTCTCAGCCCTTCAGCTTTTCCCCTCTCCCTTGTTTTGGACGTTGCGACGGAGATCTCGCTTGTCACGAGTTTAACCACGGAAGGATGGACGTCTTTTAGGCGTAAGGAAGGACGAAGAATAGCCCGTAGCTGCTACTCGTTTTAGTCCGACGCGATGTCTCGGTCTTTCAAACCCTCCGTGCCTCCTTCTGGATGCGTGGTTGACGTATATCTTTGTTGATTCGCTCAGCATGGTTGCCGCTGTAACTTGGATCCGACAACATTCTTTGATCATTTCTTTGGAGAGGCTTCTGATCATCGTTTTCTGCTGACCACCGCCACGATGAACAAGCTCTTCTCGTTATTGGTATACTTGCTGATGCAGCTGCTCCAACGGCGCACCGCGGCACAGACATGCTCCAATAAGCTCAACACTACGTACCCCGCGCCAGTGGCGGCCAGTGGCTGGGAATACCGCCTCATTGCGAATGGCTTGACCAGGCCCAGGGGCATTGCCTTTGACGCTGATGGCGGGCTTTTGGTGGTGCAATCCGGGGTTGGGTTGACGCATCTGACGCTCGACGATGACGGTGGAACCTGCTTGACGGTGACGAGCAACACGACACTGATTGCGGATCCAAATGTAAGTGATGAGATGATGACTCTACATGGCATGCAGTCAGCTAAGCTAATGGATGAAACACCAGCTCAACCATGGACTTGCTCTCTCGGGTGATGGCAAAACCATCTACGTTTCCACGGCCGAGAGCGTCTTTTCCTTTGCATACAATAGCCAGGCTGTCACCGTTGATCTTTCTTCCAATGTCACTCTCGTCACTAACATGAGCAACTCGGATCACACGACTCGCACGCTGCTCGTGTCCAAGAAACAGCCAGATACCCTTCTCGTTTCTCGTGGCAGCAATTCGAATGAAGATCTCGATGCCCGTGACATCACTAGCGGACATTCCCAGATTCGTAGCTACAACATTACTCAGAGGCCCGGCAATTCACCATTCGACTTTCTCGATGGACAACTCATTGGCTGGGGGTTGAGGAATTCTGTGGGTGTTGCTGAGCATCCTTCTACTGGAGGCATCTGGTCAGTCGAAAACTCAGTCGACCAGCTTCAACGCCAAGGCCAGGACATTCACCAAAACAACCCTGGCGAAGAGCTCAACTACCACGGCGTGTTGGGATCTAGTGATCACCAGGGAGGCAACTATGGCTATCCTGACTGCTATACAGTCTGGTCGACGGCCGGGTTCCCCGACCTAGGGATTCTCCAAGTTGGAGACCAGTTTGCCGACGATGACGCGCCGCCTGATGTGGATGACTCAAGCTGCAATACCGAATACGTTCCTCCTCGAATTGCTTTCCAAGCGCATTCGGCTCCTTTGGACATCAAATTCGCCCCCAATGCCTCGGAGGCGTTTGTGACCTTTCACGGTAGCTGTAAGTCATCCCCTGGGCTGTCTATAGCTATGCATACTGATGCTCACTCATTCAAGGGAACCGAAATGAGGCTACTGGATACCGCATCGTCTCCCTGGCCTTTGGCTCCGATGGTCAGCCCACCGCTCCACAGAACAGTACCAACGCCGTAACCGACATCATCGCCAATGCAGATGTTACAAATTGCCCCGGTCAATGCTTTCGCCCTGTGGGACTAGCTTGGGACTCTGCTGACCGCCTGTGGTTCTCATCTGATGCTACTGGAGAGATTTTTGTTCTTGAGGGAGTGAATGGTACCGGAACTGACGGTGGTGGCAATGGCAACCCCGATGACGGCAATCCTGGCGATGGCAATCCTGGCAATGGCAATCCTGGTGATGGCAATCCTGGTGATGGCAACGGCGGCAACGGCAATGGCACCGGCAATGGTCAAAATGCTGCGAGCGGTTTAACCTCAGAGCGACATGGCACTGCGGCAGTTGCCCAAGCCGCTGTGTTGGCTGGTTTGCTGCTTGCTTAGTGAGCAGTGAGAAGCCTTCTCTACTGCCTATGGACTTGGGATGTCTCTACACTTTTACCCTGCGGTAGATTCCCAAGTGTTTCTCTCTATTCAATAGTTTATCAGTAGTACATATGCAAATATCAATATCTTTTCTTACCCTCTTTAGTGTAAAGTGTTGTGAAAGCAATTTGTTGCATCTACCTTCTTTACGCAAGGAATTCGGAGTTAAGTCTTGGGCAAAGCTTGAGACAAGAGACGGAGGGCCAATGTTCTTATGAGGATCACAAGGACAAAGGCTGTTGAGCTGATATGTGAATGACGTTTCAGTTAGGCATGTTGAAAGCATGCCGTTGAATGAGACCCAGCCCTTGTGCGCATTCTAGAGATAATCTGCTCGTAATCCAACGGTATGGGTTAAGAACGCAGATGTCTCAGCGCCTCATCGTGTTCTCTCAGGTCAGGAGATGAATGAAGTCATTAACATGCAAGATGAAAGATTCCGAGTCTCTGTTTAGGAGAAGAGTTGTATGAAGAAGGACTATAAAAAAGGTCGAAAGGAGACTCTGCAATGAAAAAGCATACACCTCACTCTCTATAACAAAAGGTCACTTACTAAACATCCACGCAAAACAAATAATCATCTCTTATTAAGCATCTTTTAAAATTAATAGTAAAGATGCAGCTCTACTCTGCCATCTTCGCCGTCATCGCCCTATTCTCTACAGCAGAAGCCTGCAAGTGCTGGAACTCGTACGGGAGAACAGTCTCCGAGTACACACACGCCTGCTGCACCTACACTGGTGGATTCTTCAGCGACGACAACTGCGACGGCGACATTTTAGACAAGCTCGACGTGTTTCGAACGTGCTGCGAGAACTTGGGCACCGAATCGGACTGTTATTGCCCGGATTGTCCTGTGGAGGACGCGAGACGGAAGGCTATGGGTCTTAAGCCCATGACGGATGCTGAGAGGGCGGAGTTTGCTGTGAAGGGGACTGAGAAGAAGAGTGAGAAGCAACGAAGTGTGCCGTTTATTGGATAGATGGGGATGTTGGGTTCGGAAGTTGTATGTTGAGACTTGAGAGCTTGTTGAGGCATCCGCGAAATGGAATTGGTATTGATCTCTGCGAAGTGATTACTGAAGCGTGTGGGGAGGAGAAGGGCAGCATCTATGTATTAATGACCATCTGTACTCGAAAGAATGAATTTGATGATAGTCGCTTACGCACCCGCATAATGGATTATGATTTGTGTTACTCGATAGCCTTCTTTGGGCCTTGAGGGACCAATTTCATATAATCTCGCCCATCTGTGTAGATACTGACATTGAAATATACCCATGACTTTACAGCCAATCGACGCCATGAGTGAAGAGGATACTTGCAGCGTACATGCGATCTCGGTCAATAAATATCGCGGCTACATATGATTTGACGTCTGTGGTGTAACTCCAGTCACTTTTGGGAGTGAAGCGGCTGCATGCGGCTAATGATCAGGCTCAAATCTCCGCGTTTGCTACATCATTCACAACATCAACCGGGCTTTCTTTCGAGGACAGCTTTCTTCATACCGCTTAGTAGCTCAGTATCGTGCCTGCAGCCTGTTGTCATTTTCTATTCACTTTTTTTTTTTATAGCGGCTGGGCCACTGGTAGCCTTTTTTATCATTTCTTCCGCATATGCGCTTCTATATCGTGCTTTCTTCAGATATTCGTGGACAGCATTTCCGAAGCACAAGAGGAATCCAACAGAAAATGAGGAAAGCTATCCCCAAGAGCCGTTTTGCCATGGTATCAGGGGCGGTATTGGCAGGGTTTCAGTCGAGGCGAATATTCTCTGGCAAAGAGATTGCCCTGGTCAGATCCAAGCCGACTGCATCAAGTCAGATACGGACTGAATACCGGCCAGATGCTTAGCCGCTACACTACAAAGCCAAACATCAAAGATCAGTCGCCAAACGTATCAGAGAAAGCATCGAAATCGGAAAATATCCGCCTATCGCCTACAAAAGGACTCGAGCTACCCATCTCCATGCCCTTCACCCGCCTTGACCAGGGCACATGGCTTCACAACCGCCCAGAAACCGACGTATATAAGCTCCTTATCGACGCTTACCGCCTTTACGCTGAGGATACTTATGTTTTCAGAGCCGAAGTGATGGAGGACAGCATCTATGCCGGTTGCAAGAGCGGACGACGCGGGTTCCAGAAGTTCCTGAGAAAGGCCGCCACCATTCCAGGTCTGTTGCCTCCATGGTGGACCAAGGAGAAAAGTGCGGCCTGTGAGAAATTTGGAATGGACCCGTTTCAATGGCAAAATCTACGATTGGCTGTTAGGAAAAGAGACATCATGGAGCACTACGGGGATCATCTGTTTCCAATGCAACTGCGAATGCTGGCAGAGGCGGTCTATGGGATTCATCCCTGTGGGACTGATGGAACAGGAATGAGGAGGTTTATGATGGCAGTAGAGCGAGTGGAAGAAAAGATTATCGTAATTGATGTATCTGGAGGTAGAAAGCGATTTTACGGTATTCGTGCGGCGTGTGTTGCGATTTTGGTCATGATAGGATGGATCATGACGGGTTTCTGAAACGGTATCTTGGCATATATATCAAAGATGTGATGGCCTCTCTTCAAAATCTCATTTGTACCAAGCTCACAACGATCGTAACCAAATGCAAAGCAAAGACATCGAAAGCAGAGGTATTGAATGCCCTCGTGAATTGCAACTCGGCAAGGGAAATCTCTTATAGTTTAACTCGACAATTCAATGAGTCTCAAAGCCTCAGTTAGAACAAAGATATCTCGCTCCTTAACAAAGGAGCCGAATTCCGTCGTTGGTTCAGCCGCAGACATGGCCTCCAAGGCCTTGTCAACTGTCATCCACTGCTGAACAAACCCATCAGCAAGCTCTTCGTCCGTCAAACACGGCTCCCCCGCATCATCAACAACGTCGGCCAAATAGCAGTAAGAAATCTGATGCTGCTGGAAGCGAAACTCTTCAGTCGTGGCAAAGTAGTCGGTGCTGCGGAGAACAACTGTCGCGCCTGTTTCTTCCTTGACCTCGCGCAGGGCGGCATCCGTGGGACTCTCGTCTGCCTCGATGCCGCCGCCGGGGAGCTTGTAGTAGTTTCCTTTTTTGACGTAGATTATTGCGACTTCGCCCGAGGGTTTGAGGGCCACGACGCGAGTGGATTTGCGGTCGGTGTAGGATTTGGCTGGGTCTTTGGTGCCAATGATTTTGTGTTTTGGAGTTGCCATGATGTATGAAGAGAGCTGAGAACGGCGGGTAAATTTACACTTGAAAGATGTCTCTGATGATGGAGATTGAATTGAAGGAGACACTCGAAGAGAGGAAAGCAGTGAGAGGAAGTGAATTGTTTGTGTCGTTGGTTGTCGTGCGCAGGCAGCAGCGCGTCTCATCGACAAACTAGACGCATGCAAACAAACTAGCTGTTGAGCGGCCAAATTACAATCGAGAATTTACAATTTGATAGGAGATGATACTTTGAGTCTCAACGGATTAATCAATAAAAAGCACACCTCTATTTAACATCCAGCAAGCTAGTTTACATGCCATCAATTAGACGCAACACCCCAAAACTCCCGTATCAGTACTAGAACTCTAGTCAACAAGCAGAGTTCCAGTCAACAAGCAGAAGTCCAGTCAACAAGCAAAACTCCAGTAAACAAGCAGAGTTCCAGTCAACAAGCAAAACTCCAGTCAACAAGCAGAATAATCACGCAAGATCCTCCTCATCCAAATTATCTAGCCCACATGGATATCATTAGCCCAATCTCGCCGCAATTTGAAAGACGGATACTAGGACTTCAGAACTTACCGGCAATCGAATAGTTCTTGGAGGCGTCAACAATCATGTTGCGTCTCAGTCGAGCGATACCATCGGCCTTGAGAAGCTTATGTCCGATGACACACTTCTCAATCGAACCGTACTTCTTTCGAAGCTTCATCAAAAAGCAAAGTATATTCTCCTTTCTATAACGTAGCTGTTAGTAAGTCAAGAGCCCACATACGCGTTCATACCGACAATGGTATATAAGAGCAGCTACTCACCGCGTTCGGACCAGGATTTCTGCATCCTTACGAGTCCCTTTAAAAGCCGGGTTGCCTGAAAGTTTATCAGCAAGTAATGGAAGATGATCGTCCAACTCCTTTTCCGAGAGGGAATAATCCTTGGCCACGGCCTCATCGCTCGCACCGCAGAGAGATAGAATCAGGGCGCAGATGACGCCCGTCCTGTCTTTTCCTAGGCTGCAATGAATTAGCATAGGAGATGGAGGGTTAGTATCAGAAGATAAATGCTCAAGAATGGTTGCAAAGGGGCGCGCTCTATTCTGAGCATGGGTTGCCGAGAAGAGAATATCCGAGAAGGCTTCGGCGAATCCCTTTAAAAGTCGGTCAGCAAAAATGTCACCAATCATCTATTCAATATAGACATCGGCATGTTCCCCGTCATCCAAGTAGAAACAGCTATCTTACCTCGCAACTAGCCCCGTGCTTTGCGAACCTCGCAACGACAGTACCAGGGGCATACTCCTCGGGCACGAACACTGGCGCGGACACTCGAGTTGTTGTGCCCGACCAGATCAGCTTGCTTCTGTCGTAGGATCTTGCGGAGGAAAGCTCCTGTGTTGAGCGGAGATCATACGTGTGAGAAATGGCGAGCATCTCTAGCTTTGCTTTCCCTCTAGGAGTCAAATTGTCAAGCCGGGCCGAACGAAAGACAATATTGCGCCGAACCTCCTTTCCAGGATGCGAGGCGATGGGAGTTCCGCCAATGTCTCGAAAGTTGGGCACTCCTGGGATGGAGATGAATGGTGCGGATTTTGTCATCTTCGCTGCTGAAGAGAGATTGCCTTGTGAGTAAGATGGAAGATGTTGACACGATTATACCGACGGAATCTGGATAATATCAGCAAGGCTTGAGACTTGAGAAGATCGATCATCAAAACGTCAACTCGGATCTGACAACTTGATTGAATTTATATTATTTCAATTCTTTGTGTATTTTAAAACACCAATACTTATCTTCTTGTGTTCATTTCTGATGTTGGACACCATCTTGTTCTCTTTCAGCAATGTTCCTCAATCTTTCATTGTTTCTCTTTTTGAACGCATTTGCTATAAATATCCTTTGAACGTTCTCGTTTGTTTCTTTTCCTATATTTGCTTAGACAATGCCAACGCCGATGTTAGACAAAGCAAATAAAAATAGTAACTCATTGACAAGTCAATCATCAGCAAGGTCAAAGACAAGGTGATCCAGTATCGCGGCCATGTTAAACTCTTTATGTCTCTTGGCTCAAAGTGAAAAGTTGGTGCTTAATCTCTATGTAAAAGCTTCTCCAAAGAATTATTGCATGTAACCATAATGGCTCCATCTAACGTGACCAGTTCGCCATTAGGCGTTGGCATCGTATCCGCAGTGCTGCGCTCTCTCATGGGATAGTACACGTATGGTAAATCGACTTATCCTATCCATCATTGTTTCCTCTCTTTTTTCTCTTCTTGCCTTGGACACCTAGCTCACCAACAGACGCCATATCATTATATCAAATATTTTCGCATTTCTTTCTCGTCTCTTGTTCTTCGTCTTACTCCTCAATCGACTTGACGCACTCCCATTCACCACGTAGATTCTCTTGCCACAGGGACACCTTGTTGTCCGCGCAGCTAACAGCAAGGACGTTGCCGCTCAAGGACCAGCTAACACGCCAAACAGGGGCATCAAAGTTGAGTTGCTTGCTTGCCCACTGGCCGCCGCTAGACTGGTCTGACGTCCAGATGCGGACAGTCTTATCCTGGGAAGCTGATGCGATATATGACTTTTGCAGGACGGTAGGAGACCACGCAACGTCGCGAACCCAGTCGCTATGGCCCGTCAACGCTTCACCCTCTTGCTTGTATGACTGCGTAGCGGGGTCGAAAGTCCAGATCTTGATCAAGTTGTCAGAACCGCCGGTAACGAACCGTCGGTTACCGGTAGCACTAGGGCCTGGGGCGCTGCTGACGATGCTGCCAGGTGAGGTGGCCGGGGCCCAGGAGACGGAGTTGACACCGAGGCCGTGCGCCTGGAATGTGACATGGTCGACACTGTTGTCTTTGAACTCGAGGACGCTGACGTTGCCATCAGACGATGCGCAGGCGAGGAGGCAGCCTGCCTCATGAGGAGACCAGGAGACAATGTTGACCGAGGCCTTGTGCAAGGGGAAGTCGTAGATTCGCTGCCACTGGCTGTTCTGGGCGCCCTGTTCCTTCCAGATAAAGACCTTGCCATCGTAGCCGGCCGATGCCAGGATGTTGCCATACTTGGGATGCGCCCAGGCAACGCACCATACAGCACCTTCGTGACTAAATGGAACGTCATGTTAGTGACTGTGTTGCGGAAAGGCAATAGTATCGGCATGTTCAAGGCAAGACGTCATCTCACCCTTTCAGAGTCTCAACTAGACGTTGTGTCTCGCCCTCAATCTCGAAGATCTTAATCGTTCGGTCGCTTGAGCAGGTCGCCAGCTTTCGTCCGTAGTAATCGAGAACAGCATCATGCTAGATTCGGTATTAGTTAGCCAAAGCGCACTCTTTGTTGTTTATCGCATAAATGAGGATAGCCATGGAGAGAGAGTGAGAGAGGACAGCAAGGATTCGAAGCGTATTTCTATAGCGATATCATGCGGGATCGAGGTGAAGGACGGTAGAGGTCGGACATACGATCATATCATCATGGCCGGAGTTGGAGATGACCTGCGCCGCCTGGATGAAGATGCCTTGGTTAGCCACCTCGAGAATTGCGCAACGGGAGGGGGGAAGGAGCTGCAAAGAGCTGCGCTTCTTACCATCTTGTAGGTATAACTGCGAATACACTGGAATATAGAGGGAGAATTGGGGTTTGCGGGTGGAAGAAGCGAGACGAATGCGATCTGGCGAATCTGGCCTGTGCTGCTTTCCTGCCAGCAAGCTACGATTCGATACGTTGGAGCGCCACTGCGATTGGAGATGGACAAGGTACATGTACATGTGCCGACCAGGTCTAGCGGGGGAGCTTTGGTATGTGCACGTGATTTGGTAGACGGGGATACAGTGCAGGGGTTCTATGATAGGGAGTGAGAGCTGCTTGTACATGGAAATAGATATAGAAGCAAACATCGTGGCACCATGATATTTTTCTGTATATAAAGTTTTTTCATGTTATTAATGATCTTTGATTGGTTGAGATACGACAATACAGTCAATCCAAACAATGTAATTTAACGATGCTACTATATAAAGAGGAGATATATAGACAGACTAGTCATGCATGAGTGCCATCGTTGAAACAAGTGGATTTAAATACAATAGTAGCAACAAGCAAAAAAAGGAAATGAAATGAAAGCTCTGCTGTTACAAGTTACTTTGACTCAAAAAGGGCTGCTCAGTAGCACACATAGAGCAAAAGATGGCTAAACAAGAAACAACATGAGACAACATGTGACCCCTCTACACTCCGGCTTCCAACGGATCTTGACGCAACTGCCGATCCATCACCCTCATTTGCGTCATCCTCCTCCATACAATCACAAGATTTATTACCAATACGAACCGGGCATAAATTTCAATCCATTTGCCCATCAATCAAGAACATCAGCAACAACAATTACCATCCGCCCAGCTTCACAACCATCCCCACCAAGCCAAAACGCCATGAATCTCATCTTCGACTTCGACGGCACAATCACCGTCAAAGACACAATCTTTCAGCTCGCCCAGTCCGCAATCTCCTTCCAATCCCAGCATAACGACAAACATCTACAAACAGCATGGGACGACATCGTCCAAGCGTACGGCGATGACCACAAGGCCTTTGCAAACGCCTTCACGCCGCCTTCGCACGAGCGCTGCTCGCCTAGCCAGGAACTCGCCTACCTCTCCAGTCTCACAGACACGGAGAATGCGTCGCTGGATAGAGTCGACAAGTCGGGCCTGTTCAGCGGACTGACGAGCCAGGATCTGTTTCAGATGGGCAGGGACCAAGTTTGCAGCAACTCCATCGTCGTGAGAGACGGCTTCATCGAAATGCTTGACTTGGCGCAGGAGAATGGGTGGCATGTTGCCGTCATCTCCGTGAATTGGTCCAGGGCGTTTATAGAGGGCGTGCTTCATCCGCACAATATCCCCATCATCACCAACCGCATCTCCGCCGACGGCACAATCCAAGGCCCTGACGAGTTCAACGACGGCGTCAGGTTAACCACTTCGCGGGACAAGGCCAACTCACTGAACCAACTCATCTCTACACAAGAGCACTCCTCTCATCCGACCGTCTACTTTGGCGATTCAACTACCGACATGGAATGTCTCCTTGCCCATCACGGCATTGTCATATCTGCCGACGCCACATCGTCGCTCATGCAAACACTCGAGCGAGTTGGCATCCGCGTCCCGCACGTCGGCCACCCCGAAGACGGAGCAAACATCTTTTGGGCACGAGACTTTCGTGAGATTTTGGAAAGCCAGACCCTAGACCGTATTTCCAAAACCTCATGATCTATAAAGGAATATGAGGCGCCGTTAGATCCAGGCGAATAGCTAACCCGGATTCTATAACTACCCGCTGAGACCACACTCATCTTGCCAAAGCCAAAAAACATTCCGCCTGTCAAGCTATATCTCTCTCTGCATCCGGCTGCTTCTCTGCATTGAGATTGCCAACCTTTATCGAAACCTTTATCTTTCGGAATCTCACTCCACATAAAATTTCGAGGCACAATGTCTACCACCTACCTCCTGTCACCTCCCAGTCACAAAACCGAACCCCGGAGTCGGAGTCTCAAATCATGCAGCACCAATGATTATGACGAGATGGACCGTCGCTTTCATCAACTACGCTCAAGAATTTCGCCTCCAAAATGCGAATATTGTGTCACATCACGCCCTAAAATCACATTGATTCGGACCAGTTCCAGTGGAAGCGGCGAAGTGCTCTGTAGCCGCTACCTACAGCCGGATAAGAAGAGCCACGATGCGGTCAAGCATGTCGTTCCAATCTATCAGCGGCGAAAGCTATCTGCCATCTTAGAGGAGCCATCTGTACAGAATTAGACAAGGAATGGGATTTTACTGAATCAAGAAAGCGAGATGGAGAGATTTGGATATGAGATTCTTCTTTTCTTTTCTGATTATTCAGATGAGATGCATGTAACTTCACCTCAGAGGCATCAACGACAGGTGCACAAATATATAGATGTTAGAATTGGTATTTGAACTTTCCATCAGGCATCGGGGGATAAGAATACAGAATAAATTGATTGACACGATTGAAAGCTTCGCCGCCACTCGGAAGATATACATCAGTGAGAATCTTGCCATCCTTCAAACACGCGGTCAAGGTTGAATGCCGCACTGATAAGCGACAAGTGGCTAAAAGCCTGTGGTGTGTTGCCTAGCTGCTCACCACTTCGAGCAATCTCTTCCGAGAACATGGACAGGTGGTTCGAAAACTGGAGCATATTCTGGAAAAGATTCAAAGCTCGTGGAAGATACTTGGGTTCGTGGATGCTTGCACGGGTCATGGCTTCAACGAGCCAAAACGTACAGATCGAGAAAGCTCCGTCTCTTCCTCCAACGCCTTTGACAAAATAGATTAATGGTTAGCTTCATCGAACTTTCTATTTCAATATTGGCCCACGACTTACCGTCATCTGACGCATCAGTGTCATATCGGTACACCAGCCCGGTACTCGTTAATCCTCCTTGCTCTGGTGGCAGCATAATTCGATCGAGCGTGCTTGTAAAACGAGGGTCGCTTGGGGAAATGAAGAACACAAGAGGCGCAAGTAAAATGGACGAATCCAGCACAGTATTAGCTTCATAGCTTTGGATGAACGACTTCATCTCTTTGTTGTATCCTAGGGTGTAGTGAGAATGGAGGGTTGATTGTCAAGCAAGACAGATATGGTTACTAACCTTTTTCCATAATCTCCTCATAAATGCTATCGCGGGCTTCCAGCCATTTTGCTCTGTTGGGGCATGGGAGACATCTCTTTTCTGCAAGCCGAAGACCACGATCAAATGCCACCCAGAGGAAGACTTGTGAAATGGTGAACCGTTGCTTATCACCTCGCACTTCCCAGATGGACATGTCGGTTTCTACACGTGGTCAGTTCACCTGTCTAGGACACGTAACTTGGCAGTGTACTTACTGCCAATAATGGTCAAGACATAGTCTGCCAGGCAACGAAGTCAGCGAATCGTAATAGGCAATAAAATGACGGACGATACAGACCAAGCATTCGCCGAACAGCACACCAAATATCCCACGATACTGGCTTTCCATATTTGTTGTACAAGTAGATGGAATCCATCAATTCACCATATACATCAAATTGAAGATGGAAAGCAGCGCCGTTACCAATGCGGACGGGAGCGCTACCTCGGTAGCCTTCAAAGTGATCCAAGGTGATCTCAGGGATGTCAGTCTCCCCACGAATTGTGAACATGATGGGCAATCCACCATCTGGCCCTATGGATTGGGTGAAGCGCTCCATGATAAACTCCATGTAGGCGTCTGCCTCAGCTTTGAATCCAAGGCGAAGAAGAATATATATAGTAAAGCTCGAGTCCCGAACCCATGAGAAACGATAATCCCAATTTCTCACGCCACCTATGTCTTCGGGCAAGGAGAAGGTAGGGGCGGCAATAATGGCTCCGGTTGGTTCTACATACTGCGTATTAGCAGGGCTTCTAATAGTTTGTAGCTCTTCATAGCAGTTTACCATATGTTAGTAACTTCAAAATCATAAGGCTCCGAGCCACCACCTCTCTCCATCGCCCTTTGTATTTGGACTGGGTGATGAAGTTGTACCAGAACATCTGAGTATCGTGCTGTTGGTGGTCCACGATTTCGTCCGTGATAACTTCGGCGACATGATCGGGGATGTCATTCCTTAAAATGAATGAAATGGATTGGCCAGCAGTGAGAGTAAAACGAGATACCAAGCCCTCTCCGAGCATCTCCTCTTTCTTGACTTTTTGAAAAGTGATGTCTGGATAATTATGCCCCATTTGGTTGTCGACGGCTACATCAAGCTGAAGTTTAACATCCTGGCTGTGGAAAGACCCGATCTTGCTTTGCCGATCATTCGATGTGTGTGTGGCTCGTAAAAGTGTTGTCTCATGAGGGTGTAAGCCATAGCCAAAAGCAGGGAATATTTCAACATCTGCGGTAGTTGTTAGATCAGCCCGATTACACTTGTTCAAAATGATCCTAAGATCGTTCGAGTGAGAAATGACAGTGTTTCATACCTACAGGCAAGGATCCACGAATGCACTCCACACGCCGGACGGTCCATTTCTTCAACTCTTCTTGCACACTCGTGGCCTCACGATAGGCATTCTGCTTGTAGCCTTTAGTCATGACTTTGGCGCTCTTGGGCCTGGGAAAAAAGTCCACGACATCAACGACGCCTTCCTCGTGAATGTACCTGGTCTGTAAAATGCACGAGGAGGGCAGATACTGCTGTTTAGTGGTACACCCGAGATCATGAGGCGGAGAGACACTAAAGTAGCCTCCCTTGTTCTTGTCAAGAAGGCGGCAGAAGACAGACGGCGAATCAAAATCAGGCCTGGATCGAATTTAATATAAGATGGCCTGTGGCATTGTGGGTTGGCCTTTGAAGACTCACCAGCACATGAAGTCAATGCTCCCATCAAGGCCAACAAGAGCACAGGTGTGCATGTTGCCCACCATGCCATAGTCTTCGATGGGAAGATACCCGCCCGACTGGGCACGGCGGTTGGTTGCGGAATGCATCGCCATTGTGCAGGCCGGTAGTATCGATCTGGTATGTTCCAGTTGTTCAGCGAAGCAGTTGGTGGCTGTATTACTTTACAGTATGTTCACGATATGTTCTGGGTTGAGTCGAGTCTGCTTTGTTTACTATAGGTAAGGTAGATTCTCTCTCACAAAAGGCCGCGCTTCGATGAGAGAGCAAATGCACCCCGGAACCGCGGTTTCCCGTTCTATTATAGCACCAGTCTCCAATACCTGCCACACGAGGTGGAAATACATTACGAGCATGTCCACCAAAGTAGTGGGAACTGCTGGTAATGTTAACACCGGTATGAGGTCATCACCGACAACACTAACGACCACCAGCTCTATCATTATGTGCAGAGTACTTTGGGGCTGAGTACTGGGCAGTGAGGGGTTTGCAACCAATGGCCTCAAGGTTGCGACTATCTTGGGAACGGCAATTCACAGAATGGCAGCTAGGGAAGGAAGGATCAAGCTGACTCCCATAGTTTCGCTGATGCAGAAGTCTCGACTGATGCTCGTCAATGACGTACTAGACATGATGCTACCATGATATCCATCTGTATCTCCGAGCTCAAGATGTATGTACTTATATGGGGAGACACAAAAAAGCAAGCATATCAGGAGGCAATTTCGATCAAAGTGATCAAATATTACCGTCCCTGAATTGACCATCTGGATGTAACCTATCACGGCGATGGCATGCAGTCCGTAATTAAGATTGATGGCTTACCCCGGGTTGATCGATTCTGACATGACGTAGGTGAAAAAAGCGCCGCTACTTCCGAGACACCACAAACAATGGCTGGCCAATCAAGAGCTTGTTGCTTGTAGTAAACCGGGCAAATCGATATCGTGCTGCTCTATATGACTATTATGTAATAGTTGAACTACAAGGCTAGGTTAGCAAGCCGAGGTCTGGAAGAGCAAAACCGCAAGATGCACTCGAATTTGACTAACTATATTGCTGTACAACTTTAGTAGCATTTACTAGAGAAACATAGATATAGTAGCAGATACTTCAAGAACAGGTGTATAATTCAACGCGTAGATGTTCAAAACCTTCTCAGCTCAGGTTTTCTGTCCTCCCCTTGACTAGGTAGCTCTCGTCTTTAATTCTTGATCCCAAGCTCCATATGAACAGAGCAGTAAATAGGCGTTATAAGTGAAAGTCAGTCATAATCCTTTGATTTGATCTATCCCCTTAGCTAGGATCATCTATCATGAAGGGTATCAAATGCTCTAGGCGGCATGAACCCAATATCCCAACGCCCCAACGCCAGTTGACAACCGTCGACCCTGTTTTCAAAATTAATTGTTTTCGTCGCCTCCTCCTTTGAGATGTAAACACCCCTCGGTGTCTTATATATGTATTGCCTCGTCAAAGTATAGGCAAGGGCATATCGAAGAAGCGTTCATTGCATAACCAGAACATCCTCCATTTCTTCTCCCTCATCGTCATCCCCGTCATCCTCCGCCTCCGCAGCAGCCTCCTTGGCATCGTTACCACCCTTATCTCGATATGCCTCACTTAAGCAGTAGTGGTTGGCAAACGGGCCGCTCTTGTTGAGCACGGCAACTTCTTCCAAGACCTGGCGTAGGTACGAATCCGGCTGCTGAGTTCTCTGTCGCAGCGCCTTCATTGACCAATACTGATATTGCCGGAAACAATCGAAAATAAGATCGAGAAGCTGGTTTTTCGGAATACGAGTTGCCTTGAGAATTTCGCCCTTCTTGGGCTTGACGGTGGAGGGAGCGTTTTTCTAATCGGGCTTGTTAGTAGCAACATCAAACTATAGCGGGGAACAGGCACACGCACAATGAAGTTGCCTCCCCAGCTGACAGAGCCTGCAGATCCAGGATTGATAATGGAAGATGCCTTGTTTCTGCTAATGATCTGAAGCTTCGACTTGGAGTTTTCTGCTTCGAAAATACGCTTCGCCAAGAGCTCTTCTTCCTCTCGAAGATTCCGTGGTTCGACGCGTAGATCATATCTAATCTTGCCAAAGATTTTCGTCTTCTCTGTGGAAAAAAATTCATTAGCATCCCGCGCGGATACCTGCCTCGTAGAAGATTGCCAACATACTCGGGATAGCTTTGCGGTAGTAGGGCTGGTACCTGCTCCTTCGATCGTAGGTTGGTTTCTCGGAATTGCCGTTTCCTCTTGATCGTAAAAGAGCCAGTGGTATACCGGCATTTGCAGCATCAGCGCGCGCCTTGTTCTTGGATTTGAACCCCGGTAAATCTTCTTCGCTGAAGATGAAGGAATTATTCACGTCCTGGTCGAGGATTTCCAGGTCGTACTCGCGAGGCAGAAGCTGGTGCTCGGGAGTGTTTGCTGTGAGAAGCATGCGCAGCTTGGTGAGTTCGCGAGGGCTTCCATCAGTCATTGTGTCCATCTGTGGCTCGTTCCAGGTCCGTAACGTGCCGATCTGGATCTCGTCGTCGTCGCCCAGCTTCTCTGTTAGCTTGATCCAAGCATCCCACATATACTTGGGGACGCGCGCAAGATACAGCGTCTCAAATGTGTTTCCGGGAGTTGTCTTGTCGTAAAAATCCAGGTCGCCGGCATCTTCGAAGAGGTCGTCCTCGTCAAGTGCCATTGGCGATGCCGCCGGCTCGGGCTTGACGAACTCGGACTTGACGAACCCTGAGTCGGCCATCTCGAGTCTTCTTTCTGGAGGTTCGAGATCTTGTGTTGGGCGATTCGATTGGAGCGGCACAAGGAGGAGCTGCGGCAAGTCGGCGAGCTGCTGCGTGTTGAGTTGTGAAGTTGCAAAACAAAGCACCAGGCGTCACTGTGGGCCGGAGCTTGGTGGTGACAAAGAACATGCACCAGCGCTAGCCTGAGGTTCCCAAACTTGCAGGGCTGCTCCAGTGGCTCCTCTACACTATCAGACTACTAAGTGCCTGTAGAGCCCCTCAAGGTCGCTGCGCACTGTGTACAGTGACGAAATGCCTGAGCTCAGTTTGCGATACTGTGTCGGTACTTGATACTTGCACCGCCAACCTGCAACAGCAGCTTTGGTACTAGCGGATGCAGTGCTGGTCCGTGCACGAGGCTGACGATTTGACCCTTTCCATAGACGTCAGATGCAGTACCGTAGCAACTGCAAGCAATTTCGTTACCGCGCATTAATATATCTCCGTCATCCAGTCTTTGACTCATATATAACCTTGGTTTCATCTTATACTATCGTGATGGTTTGCATGGCGTCGGATTAACTGCCCTGATAGGCTTGGGGGGTGGGAGAATTCAAGCCACGAATCGCCAGGGCACTCGCTGGTCCTCACTTTCTACTCACGTATCGACGCCGCCTCACTTTGGACTCACTGCCAGCTGTTCACTGCCACTTTGTCCGTTGTTACTTGATCAACAGCTGATTCTTTTTTGAATCTTTTTTGAAAAGCCCCATAGAGCTCCAGTCACTTTTGTGTGCCCATCCGTATTTACTTTTCTATATAAGTTGTCGGCTCACCCGATTCTCATCCTGCCCATCATGTCTTTCGTCAAATCACTCAGAGAACTTGCCATCATGGCCTGCCTTAAGAATATCCGAGATATCGACAACATCGGCTTTCTCAGTTACGAGACTGTCCGCGAAATTCTAATCAAGGTGGACAATGCCGCTCAACTCCGACAGATTGAACTCAATTCACCTCAAATCGAAGGCCAGACTGCAGAGATATGGCTCAAGTTCATCGAGCGCGACTTTCCCCTGGAATCCAAAACCAAAGCATACCAGCCAAGGGACCCCAAGAAATGGTACAAGGTCTGGGAGAAGTACAAGAATGAGCACGACACGGCGCTTCAAGAGAGCGAGAACAAGCTCAAATCCGCCCTCGCCGGCCTCCGCCAAGATAAGGAGAAAAACACCAGCAAGATTGTCAGCGGCAAAGCTCTTCCCAGTTCTGCAAAGTTTGCCATCAGACGATACACCGGCCCCCGTGAGGGTAGTTCCAACGCCCTGATGTTTGGTGGTGGTAGTCGCACAAAGACTGCAAATGGAGCAAGCGTGATGCGAAAGGTCCGCCGTGAGGTCAAAGAGATTGCCAACATCCACGGTTCCCTTTCACGACCCATCAAAGCTCCGTCGAGACGTCCCATCGTCATGAAAGCCCCAACGGCCATGATCAATGACCACAAAAGGGCTGCACAGCCAGCATATCGACCAGCCCCCAAGGAACCTACAAAGGTCTCGCCCCTGGAAGCTGCCCTGGAAGAATTTGAACGACGGGCTACCTTTGTCTCCGATTCTGAAGACGACGAAGGCGGCGAGGGCGATTACGACGATTTGGCCGATTCAAAGCAACCTACTCCCAAAGCCGCTGCCAAGGCCGCGCCAAAGGCACCTACTAGCTCCCTCCAGCGAAAGTTTGGAGGTTTCAAGCCTCCTACCAAGCCTGCAGTCATCACCAGAGCACCAGAGTCGAAACCGTCAAATGGCCCTACAAAAGTTTCGTCGACTCACCTACCCGAGACGCGTACCACCCCACCCATGGATGAAGGAAGCTCACCTCAGTCGGTTGAGGAGCTTCTAGCGAATGTGGAAACTCAACACCAGGCCGCGGCAGCCTCTGCCTCGGCTCCTCGCAAGCGCAAGGCTGTAGACATTTTCATGCGACCCAAGCGGAGATAGAGTGAAAGGCTGGTGTGTTCTTTTCCTTTGTCGTGGAGGTTTGTTGCGTTCTCGCGTTGTCTTTTCTCTTTTGATACCTGGGGCGAGATGTGCCCATACCAACTGCATGGTGAAGGGAGTTTTGGTACAGCCCTCGAGGCTTAGAGATTTTAGCTTGAATAAAGGAATAATGGGGGGGTTTTTTTTTTACCATCTCTTTCTTTTAGCAGTGATAAATGCGAGATGGCCGACATCGCCAAACTGCCACAAAGCTGCGTGTAGTTATTAGAGACAAGCGGGAAAGTGTTCAGGTAGGAAAGGATTCAAGCAGTGCTTACTATATCATGTGTGCTTCAATCAATTCAAGGTCTTCGTTTTGAACAGATGTAAAGACTCTCTTTTGCTATGATTCGCAGCTGCGTCATGCACGTCATCAGTTTGCTTGTGTTCTCGTCAGTTCAAGTCCGAGTATCTATTCACAATCCATTTGCCGCAAATCACTATCCACGTCATTCATTCTCAAAACGAACGCTCCGCGACAATAGAGCTTTCTGGAGAGCTTGTCATGATTTATGTAGCTCAATCTATCAAATGACTAAATGTACGCAACGTAACCGGCAGCAAGATGCCGTATATCAACCACAAAAATGAAGGCCCTTCCTCATTTTTGCCTTCTCTCCCCTCCCATCTACCGCTCTCCTCTCGGCTCCCTTAGAGACATGTTCGACATATTCGCTTCGCTTCCGTCGCTCATACTTGAAAGTGCCGTCCCCCCCTAAGGGCGAGGACGAGATGCAGAGTGTCGCCGGCGACAAGGTTGTACTCGGCCGCGGTCTTGTCATCGGTCCTGCATCCGAGAATTAGTAAGCTATGGTGTCACTCTCTCCCCCGTTGGCTTCGGATTTTTGGGAGAAATCGCTCGATGGAAGGGGGCGTGGAATCCATACATTTGCTTGCCGCCATGGATGAGGCGCTGCTGCACGGGCGGGATGCCCTCCTTCTCCTCCACCTTCTCCTTGATCTGGGAGACCTGTACGCAATATGATTCAGTCGTCGGTTCTGATGGCAGGAATAGCGGTAGGTAGTGAGTGCGTGTATACCTTGTAGTCCAACTCGATGTCGAGTTCAATCTCCTTGCCGGTCAAAGTTCGCACCCTGCAAGTCGTATGCTCTGTCAGCCTATTTGCATCACTCTCGGGTCGGGCGAGATCTCTCACTTGATCAACATGTTGGCGGTGGTTGTCGGGGTGATGGATGCACTGGTTGGCTTATCAGGCTTTCCAGAGAAAGAGAACCGCGTATGCGTTTATCCCGCGCAAGTCTAGATGCGTTGATGCTCTGCTTACACAGGCGAGGCTCTGTCGGGATGACTGGTTGTGGAGTTGGCAAGTCTAGGATCACAAGGCTGAAAGTGACGGCACGGAAGCTGGAGGTGGGATGTTGGAGCTGGTCTGGTGGGGTTGCAGATGCGCGCCTTGCGCCACCCAAAAGCTGCTGTTAGGCAAGCAATCGAAGCGAAAGGAAATACTTTGTCGGGGAAAAAAATATGCGACAAAAGAAAAATAATAATTTGCAATATTGGAAGAGATTCAGGGAACTGCAGGATCGACAACAATCTGTCTGATTACCTCAAAGGCTACTATTAGTGCAGACGCATTCGCAGACCCGCCTAAAGCGCTGCCACGATACTTGCAGCATGAGTCCTGCCTACTAAGGGCCAAAGTTTACCTAATGTCAATGGCGGTATATGCTTTGATATCATCTGAGGGAGGATTCGTGTCTGTATGTTTCAGTGGCTAGTGCCCTGAGCCCATTACAGCCTCCGTGTAGATTCTTATAATACAGTTTTCATTGTACAGACAAGCATGCAGCGGAGATTATCTTCCACCTTCACCAGTTTTCCTCTCATTTCTTCTCCTCCTCAAACACGTTCAGACCCAGGCCCTCAGAATCTAGCATCAGCCTGTTCTTGGCGCCAGATTCTTGCAGCTGCTGAGCAATGAGTCTGGCGTTCTCAATCTTCTTCAGCTCCACGTAGGCCTTGCTCTTCTTGATGGCCTCGCCAATCAGCTCGGCAGATCGAGCCTCACCCTGAGCCTTGACAACCATGGCCTGCTTCTCCTGCCGGGCCTTGTCGACAACAAAGGCCGCTCGCTGCGCCTCTTGTTGCGCAACCTGCTTAGCTTCGACAGCAGCTGTGAACTCTGGGGAAAAGGCAAGATGCTACACCGGAAACGAGACATTAGACAAAGTTACATAGACAATTGCACTGGGTGCTGTTTTGGAGGGGCGGAGCTTACCGTCAGAGACACATCATCGAGTAGGATGTTGAATCGCGCAGCTCGGCGAGACAGGTTCTCCCGTACTAGTCGGGCTACCATCTCTCGCTGTGTAATAAGCTGACTGGCGTTGAACTGAGCGACCACGCTCTTCAGAACCTCGTTCACGATTGATGGCAGCACTCGCTCATCGTAGTCGGTTCCAAGTGTTCGGTAGATCTGAGGCAGAGCTTCGACATTCGGTCTTGACAGAACACGGCAGGTGATGTTGACCATCTGCAAGTCTTTGGTGCCAGTCAGCGAAGCCACGTTGCGCGGCCGCGCTCGTACATCGTAGACGACGGGCGTCTCGAACCAAGGAATGTTGATGTGTGTTCCTAAAAAAAAGGATTTTCATGGTTAGTTTTTTCCTTTCTTCCATTGAACATTATGCTGAGTGGGATGTCCAGCAAAACCCAAAAGGTTTTCAACAGCTCCCTCATCTCGATCCATCCTTACCTTCGCTGTAAATCTCCTTGCTCACGCCTCTTAATCGCTGGTACTTGATGGCACGATGACCACCGTCCACGTTGAACAGCGAGTTCGACAGCACCCAAGCGCCGCCCGCCAGCAGGATTCCTCCAATCAAGGCGCCGTTTGCTCCTCTGGGCATCTGCGGTCCTCCTCGTCCGGGATACCCGCCCCGCGTCTGCATCTGGCGCAGACGCCGCATCGCCTCCTCCTGCCAGTTGTTTGGGTTCGACATTTGCCCTCTTCCTGTGCCTTGGTTCGCGCTCGAGTTTGAGTTTGGGGGTCGTGGCTGTCGGTTTCTGCCGCTGTCTCGAGGCATCAACTGGCTTGTTGCTTTGATGATGTTTGCGATTGGATACCTAGTCGGAATGGTTCTTCTACATGAACTAGCTCGGGCGGCACCAGCCCCAAAATTTCGGCGAATGGAATGCGCCAACCTTTCCCCGCGCTGGACCCGAAGCCTACCCGAGAAACGTACGGAATGCCTTGACAAAGAGGATAATTGCGAGCAACCTAATGCATTATAGATGTGGTTTGCTCATTTAATAGGCATCGGATTTACATAGAAGAGGGGTAATAACTACATAACGAAATCTTAGAGGAAGGCAGTGCTAGTGTTAGATATCTGAAGACTGGTAGATAAAATATGCTTCTCTTGTATCCATCATGGCACTTAAAGCTGTCAAGATTGTATTCACTTTGAGGATGGATAACCAACCTGAGACCTTTTCTAACACTATATAATCGTATTCCATTCATTTTCCTATTTAGGCTTGAGTAATTGTAATTTGTAGGTGTATACTATCATTTGAATTCTGTGCAATCGTCGTATTTCCTCCCCATGATCCCCCCGGGATGACCCCGAATACAACAAGCTCCTGAGAGAATACCAAGTATTACTCGATATCCCAAGAGTACGTCGTCTATCTAGGGATCGAACAACGCCAGTAGCTTGACGTCAAGTCTTTAAAGGGCCCCCCAAAGCAAAACAAGGCAAAAAAAAGGGGAGACAAAAGAAACAAGCAGAAAGAGCGTCCTGGCTCATCGAGTTTTCTTTCAAAACAGTTTCACAACACAACGGGCAATCATGCCTTGGTCACCAGAGGCTTCCTGGCATACCCGTTGAGCATCCGGAAGCCTGCTCTGCCGTTGCGTCCCTCCTCCATCACAGCGTGGACACCCTCCAGACACTTGCCCGCTTCCTTGATGGCTGGGCTAGCAGTCACGGTGTCTACAAGTCTCAATTCACCGGCAACTTTCTCCATCTCGCATCGGAGAAGCCACCTTTCCCAGCTCCAGCCGCCAGCAATGCTGCAGACGCTGGCGATATCATCTGTGCTCCCCATAACCATTGCGTCCATCTGGCAGACCTTGACATCTGCGCCAGATGGGCTGTCCTTGGGAGGAGTGGGAGGCTTGACCACGGGCTTGGCCCCAACAGGGAGACATACCCAGGCGCGGCGAACATCGTGGAAACCAGCACGAGCAAGCCGGCCCAGCCACAGCTTTGTTGGGCTCGGGTCATAGCCGAGAGTCTTTAGGGTGAAGCCAAACTCCACGCTCTTAGCAAGGCCCAATGGGCCAGCATTCATGATATCTGAGTCGAGAAGGGAAAACTCAAGGTAACCGCCAGGCTTCAAGACTCGCATGCACTCGCGAAGGCAGTTCTCCCACTCATCCTCACCGTTCTCTCCAATAAACTTCAGGAGGCTGTGGAGCTCGCGGGCGGAAATCAAATCAAACTGGTTGTCCGCAAAGGGAAGCTTGGTCAGTCGCTCCACGGCAACTTGACGGTGGTTGGGTGGGCCTCGGATGTTCGAGTTGGAGAGCTGGCGAACCGCCTTGGTGGTGACGGTGTAAACCTTGGTGTTGGGATACAGGAGGGCGCAGTGCCATGCCCAATCGCAGCTTGACTGGCCGCCAAGGTCCAGAATCCTGGCTCGATCGCGAGCAACACCATCTTTACCGGGTGCCATTCGCGAGAGCCGGGCCAGACGCTTGGTGACCGGTGCAGAAATGAGTTTCCCACCGTTGAGGAACTTCACTGCGGCAACATGCCACGAAGCCATGGTCATTTGCTTCATGGCCTCAGCCTCCTTCTCCTTTCGCAGCGTTTCCGGATCATCGGTCAGGATATCGTCGCCGCGCACGACGTTAGCACTCAGGCGCTTCTTTGCGGACTGGGGCACAACACTAAGTTGGTACTTTCCCAGCAGCTGGCTGTGGTGAGCAGAGCGAAGGGCAACTCTTTGCGCTTGAAGAGCCTCAAAGCGGGCGAGTTGGAAAACAAAGACATCGCTCTGCTGAGTTCGGACGACGTAGTCTTGGAAGGCTCGGTAGTAGGCGGATTCCTTACGGAGGAGCTTCGATGGGAGGCTCTTTGGCACCACAGTAGTGGTAATGATGTTGGAAAACCGCACAGTCTTCTTTGCCACAACATCCTTCTGGCCCTGCTTCTGCTCAAATTCCGGCTCAGTCTTGGTCTTCAGTTTGATGTCCTCTTCCTCTTCCTCATCCAAATCTTCCTCGATTGTTTCCAAAGCACCATTAGTCTCAGCATCATCTACGCCTTTGAGATATACTCGCTGTGCCACAAGCCACAGCTCAGTGCGGTCAAGGTTGGAAAGGGCTTCCAGTTGTTGCTTTCGAGCATAGCTAGGGTCATAGTCTTCCACGATTTCGGCTGGGATATCGTCCGCATCGGGAGAAGAAGGAGACTTGACGGCCTCGCTCACTTGGGTGTTTGTCTGAAGATTTAGGATGGGCCTAGCGGTGGGTAAATCATCCTCATTGATCTCATCGGCTTGAACCTCCACAATATGCTCAACAGGGGCAGACGACATCAAGCTCACGCTTCGGTAGAAGTCCTCCGCTTCGTCCCGCTGGGGAACTGGGGGGATAGATGCATCGACGCTGGCGTTCCAAGGGCAACGATAGAATTGCTCTGCCGTTGTAGATGTCGGAGGAATTAAATCGAGCGGCGAGAGGGTTCTAGGGTGCCAAGTATTCCTGCTTCGAGGTGACAATCCAGAAAAGAAGCCGCCGGGAGATGGAATGCTGAGCCTAGTAAGCCCCGCCAAGGACTGGCGGGCAACATTAGCGGTACGGGTGTTCTCCCGAGTTGCCTGAGATAGAAAATTGGTAACAAGTCGCAGAGAACTCTGTTGCATTTCAGGAACCTGCTGGGGTTGCGCCTGATTGAACTCAGCAGACCCATCATCTTGCTCCTCAAGGTCTCCATCCTCACCACCACCAGACAGGGCGTGTAAAGTTGCCAGAGCACCAGGCTGCAAATGGACGCCTGTCCAGGGGGCTTCGGTGTTGGTCTCATCGTTGCCGATCACCGGAGTTGGAGGGGAACTCATGGTAGCGAGTTGCTCGGATGACAGGCTTCCATCAAGAGATGGTGGCGCTGAGATTGTAGGGATATCCAAAGCTTGCTGCTTGCCGAAGAAGTCCTTTTGCGCAGGAGACATGGGGAGATTTGCAGATGGGGTCAACGGCAGCGGAGACGTAATCTTCTTGAGCTCATCGACGGCAGTCCAGGCTTCGTCACTCTCATCTCTAGTAGGTGGGATGACGAGAGGAGTGGGTTGTCTGATGACTGGTTCAAAAACCATGGATGCAGTTCGAGATCTTCGGACGGATGATGAACGGCGCAGCCCCCGGTTCGCTTCATCGTCAGATACATCATAGAGATCGTACAGCTCATCGAATTCGGTACCGTCGGTAACTGAACTGGTTCGGTTCCACGAGTTCGAGTTGGAGAATGACGTCGGTGAACTCTCATCGGCTGATACTGTCGACGGCGATGATGGAAGGATCGGGGCAGCGAGGTAGTGTACTCCCCTTGGAGTCGGAAAATGATCGCTCATTGGCGACAGCCATGCTGTGATGTTGAGATGCGATGTATCGACCCTCTTTCCCTTTGCACTGGCTTGGCCATTCGGTTCCTCTTCTATTATGGGATTAAGACACCTCCTTGATCTTCGATCCAGCGAAGACTCTTGGGGTTGACGGTTGTTGGGTATAAAGTGTGTTGGCTCAGCCATTGTGTAACGCAGACACTATTCCAGATAGTGATAAAAAGAGGTATGATAACAGAGGGAGAAATAAAGAAATAAACAATTAATATGTATCGTGATCAAGAGGAAATAAAAAATTAAAGTATTAAACTCAACAACGCTCGACGGCCGGCGACGATATGCAAAAGCTCGAACGATGGGCTGCTTCGATCAACGAAGCGTCTATTACTGCACACAGACCACGCCGCAAAGAAGAGAATTAAGAGAAGTAAAGGCAAAGAGATGGAAATGCCGACGCTGTTGGTTCGGGCAGGTTGGGTCTTATTAGAAACCTAGATGGCGCTCGATTGGGGATGGGCGGCTAGAGGTTACTCGGCGCCTATGGACGGCCCAGCTCTCGCTCGTATGACGAGGCGGTGCATATTGGGCACAGGGTGATGTGGCGGACAGCAAAGACGACAGAGCCAGGTTAAGGTAATAACGCCGCGCCGGCGCATCTAACCCTGGGATGCCTCGAGAGAGGGCGGCTTGAAGGGCATCATGACCCGATGTGAACGATGTCCATCGTAGGCGAGATCGCGGTCAAGCCACTAGTATTGGGAGAGACCGCCCAATCAGCTATTGATTTTTGCTTCTATAATTAGACAATTTCCTGGCCGCCGTCTTGGCACAGCGATGACTGGCTGGCGGCTGCACACTCACTCTCGCCGTCGTGGGGAGCCGAGCGAGAGAAATGGCCAATGGCGATGGCTTCCGCCAAAGCTGGGCGGCTAACATGCTGGTCGTCACCAGGGTGCAGCTGCAGCTGGGGAGCATTATGGCAGCGCCAATTCCAATAGACGAGATCGCTTGTTGTTGACGCCTGGAAACCTGGTTCGCAATCTAGTGACGACAACTATTGATGCAGAATGAAGTGGCCGTGACAGACGATGAAGCTTGGAAATACAAGCCTTTTTGTTGCAGATGTTCACCAGCCTCGATGTGCCGACTGTCGACCACGCAGCGCTACCGACGCGGATATGCACCAGGAGTTTTCCATCACTTGATGAAGAGGCTGCTAGCGCTGCAGGATAAAGGAAATGACGAATTTCTTCATTATGCTCGTCTAAGGGGACGGCGGCTCGACTGAGACAAGTTCTTCAATGTTTGGGGACTCGTATTGAATGGAGCGAGTACCTATTCAACCTGAATGTTTACACTCAGCGCTTTCTGGCCTCAGGTGTCCAACCAGGAACCCGCTAGCGGCGCCTGGAGGTACGAGGTACGAGGTACATCTGCCAGGTACCTCAGGCAATTGACGTCGCCAGCAAAAACGAGCCCCGCCATGCCTCGTTGAATTTACCCCGCCACGGGCCTGGCCTGGCTGTGACTTGACGAGAAGAGACAAGGAGAGAGTGCACGCGTCTTGCTCCTGTCCTGTAGCTCTACAACAGCCAGCGTCTGCAACCAACAATGGCAGACACAGAACAGTCCGAGGCGCCCGTGGAGCTTCAGAGCAGAAATGTGATTTACTGCGGAGGTACGATGCAACTCCCTTTTGCCCTTGAATATTTTCCTTGGCTGCTCAATCATCGTGGTTTGTTGGTTCTAACCGGTGCTTCTTGCTGCAGTGTGTACTCTGCCTCCTGAGGTATGGAAAAAAAAAATCAACCACGTCCCCGCTGCTTTGAAGTCTCGAGCTCAACTATGACCAAGTAGTACTGCGAGTATGGAGGCACCGTCAAGAAGTGCCAAGAATGGCTAGAGAAGAACCAGCCGGCCATGTATGAGAGGATATGGTCCCCTGAGGCTTTGGAAGCCGCCGCCTCGTCTCTCTCGATAGATGCGCAGAAGAGAGCTGCCAAGGATGCGCAGAAGAAGGCTGCCAAGGCCGAGGCCGCAGAGCAGAAGCAGGCCACCAAGCTGGCCACGAGTGTCGTCACCATCAAGCGGATCGAGAGAAACAAGAAAAAGTTTGTCACGGCGGTCATTGGTCTGGAGGCGTTCGGTCTGGATCTGAAAAAGGTGCGTTGCTTGGTATAGTTTTGGCCTTTGACGCTGGAACGGCTCTAACCGGTTATTCGCTATAGGTTGCCAAGGATTTCGGAAAGAAGTTTGCAACGGGATCCTCCGTGACAAAGCTTCCCAGCGGCGGCGAAGAAATCGTGGTCCAGGGAGATGTGAGCGACGAGCTGGAAGAATTCATTCTGGAAAAGTACAAGGATGTACCAGAGGACAACATCGAGTTTGTTGATGACAAGAAGAAGAAATGATATTCCTTATGAGCAATTAATCGAAATAAAACGCCTGATTCCCGTTGGTTCTTGGTCCAACAATGCATGGTGTTGCTACATGCCCAAACTCCGTATCCCAAGTGCCAAGGTACAAAATTAAACCGTATCCCGTAAAACATGCCTAACGGCTGCCTGCCGCCGAGGCTTCCCACGCAAAAATGTCCCGATACCCAAACCCCAAGATCCTCAAGATCTCTATAATCCTCAAAATTACAAATCCATTTCTTCATCCTCTCTTCCTCAATGTTCTTCCGGTAGTAGTGGTAGACACAGCAGTCCCTGCCTTCGCTGTTGACTTCACTATCCCTCCCGAAGCGGGTTTCTTCGCACTCCCCGGGACAGGTTTTCTTGTAATTGCACTGTTGCCCTTTCCTGCAGGCTTGTGAAGCACTGTATTTGCGCTTCCATCACTCGATTCGGTATTGTCGCTAGCCTTGCGCGTCGTTCGAGCTCCGGGCTTAGCTCGGAGGCCAGTAGGCACGGCTGTTGCGGTGCGCCTTGTCCGCGCTGCCGCTGCCGGTGTTGCTCCACTGGAACTCGAGCTTGAGTTGGATGTTGTAGTGACCTTTCTGAGCCCTCCCGTACGCGTCCCCAGATTTGTGGCAGTTGTGGGTCGAGTTGAGTTGCCAGCCTTCAGAGGAGAGCTGGACTTATACAGATATGACTTGGTGGGGGATGTTGCGCGGCTGCGGTTTGCCAAACGAGAGTTGGACGAGGTAGGTGACAAAACCTGTGCTGGGTGAACCAAGCCACCATCCTCGCCGCGAGCCCTCTTCTTAGGGCGCTCGCCTTTTTGAAGCTCATTCTCTTTATCCATAGCGATTTCATTGCTAGTAGGTCAGTTAGTCTCAAAAGAAAGAAAGAGAAACAAAATTACAGCGTATTTAGACGCAATTCACCTCAACCGCTTCTGGGCGCGTCCAACCTGTGGCGCGCGAGTGGTTTGGTGGATAGGCTTTTGAGGACTTGGAAGTATAGGCAGATCTTTGACAGGCTGCGGTAGCGGGCGGCTGGGCCCTCCTTGCGCCTGATCTGCGTATTTGAGGAGTAGGTCGCCCATAGTGGCCTTCCTGAGTGCAGTTGGGATCCGGTTGAGACGTATCTCAATTCGCGACCTGAGGCCCTGCGCCTGGAGATGATACTGGGCGCGTAATCTGCGGGCTCGCTCAGTGACTACAGGAAGGCGAGAGAAGAAAAATGTCAGCCTGTTTTACACTTGTAGAGGTCGAAATCGCGTACTTTCTAGTCGCAGGTTCTCGATCAAGGCTTGCTTCTGCTGCAAGGTGATTCCCGTCTGTTTCTTCTTGATGATGGGAGTTCGTTGTGGTGTTGAAGGGGTATCGGAGCCGCTGGATGTCGCGTGTTTCTTCTGCGAAGCGCTCGACTCGCTCGAGGCCTGCTTTCTTGGTCGTGTAGGAGCCATGGCTTTTAATTGTGTTGTGGCTGTGCCTCTCCTTGAAAGTACTTGTGAGGGAGGGAGATTCAGGAATCGCAATGCGAATGAGGGAATGCGAATGCGTGCATGAGGTCGTGCACCAAGTGAGACAATGACTTGAAAGTAAACAAACCAAATCAATGAGTGAGCTATTGGTTATGTAATCAACACAATCTGACCCGCATAATATGCTTGTTAGTGAGTTAGTCTCTATACCTCAAATATGCTATTTTGCCACGTTAAATAGCTGCATCAATAAGTGCATGTACAAAACTTCCTAGCATTCCTGCATGTACCGATCTTGCACTTACCAGGCTGAACCGGCCTTACGACACTCGAAGCTCCAACAACCAGATTGTCGAACATCAATTACCAACTTGTCTCTCTACATCTCCTTGCCTTCCCCAACTTGCACTCTCTTTCTCAACGACGACCTGAATCTCTGGACCCGAATACTATACCCAAAGCCACCAAATAAACAATCTAGTGGCCCAGCGCCCTCATTCGCAGCTACAATGGTTCTCGAGGCTGTTATGGTGGTTGTGGACAACAGCGAAAGCAGCCGAAATGGAGACTATCAACCAACCAGATTCGACTCACAAGTTGACGCCGTAAATGTGCTGTTTCAAAGCATCACTCAGGGCAACCCAGAGTCATCCGTCGGCCTGATGAGCATGGGTGGGAAAGGCCCGGAAGTGCTCGTCACACTCACCACAGAGCAGGGCAAGATCCTGGAAGGTCTGCACAGGACAAAGAAGAAGATTGGTGGATCGTCTCACCTAAAGACTGGTATCCAGATTGCGACGGTATGCTGCTTCTCTCGTGCATATGCGTTGTGTTGATGTGTGTGCGCTGACTTTGGTTCGTAGCTCGCCCTCAAGCACCGGCAGAACCGATCCCAGCGCCAACGAATAATAGCATTTGTTTGCTCCCCCGTCGAAGATCAAGAGAAGGAGCTAGTGCAGCTAGCTAAAAAGATGAAGAAGGGCAACATCTCGGTCGATTTCGTTCTGTTTGGCGACCTCGACGATGATGCCACGCAGAAGAAGCTGCAAGCATTCAACGAGGCCGTCAAAGGCAACGAGGGCTCACACTTGGTCGTCATCCCACCTAGCAGCAAGCTTCTGAGTGACCAGCTGATCTCGACACCCATTATGCTTGGCGAAGGCGCCGGAGCGGGTGGTGGTGGTGCTGGTGGCAACGACGAGTTTGAGTTTGGATTTGACCCGGCGATTGAACCCGAGCTGGCTCTTGCTCTGCGCATGAGTATGGAAGAAGAGAAGGCCAGACAAGAGAAGTTGGCAAAGGAACAGGAAGAAGAGGCAAAGAAGGCATCTCTAGAAAGTGTCAAAGAGGAGAACGAAGGCAGTAGCAGTGGAGGCAGCGCGGACAAGGACAAGGACCGCGGTGATAAGATGGATACTTCTTAATGAGCATCATAACCATGGTGCCTTGATTGAAAGTGTATAGTAAATATCCAGATCCAGTGGAGCCTTAGAGGAGAAACGCTAGGCATGATAATCACGATTAATTTGAGGACTGGATATTGATTCTAAGTTTGATGTCCTGATTCTCCCGCTCCGCGCAGGCTACCGACCCTAGCAACTCCCTTCTCACCGATTGTTAATCTCTCTAATGTATGACAGCAGCTTTCGGTCAAAGATGTCGCATCGTACGGGCATCTCCAGAGAGTAAAAGGGATTTTTCATGACGTAATCGGCGTACAAGTCGTATATCTTCTTGATGGTCACGTCCACATTGGTCTGAGTGGTCTCAGTGAAGAGCAGGAACTTGGTGCCCGTCAGAGTATTGAAGCACTGCATGCGAAAGTTTTCTGTCTCCAAGACCTCTAGTCCAGATGACGGCTCTGGCCGGCCAGGTAATTCATTGGTGCCGGGAGCAGGGGGCTGTGCGACTGGCTTGACCGGATTCAAACGCGCGGTGATAGCATGAACACTAGAGACGGGGGTAATGAGCCTCTACATAACGTGAATCCTAAACAGTGTGTGCATCTTACCCGTGAAAAGTTCCAGCAAGTACAAGATAGTCGTTTGTGCTGATTTTGTTGAGGCCGCCGTCGTGGAATGTCTTGTTATATATCAGACCACCGGCCTTGTTGATGATGATGAGAGAGAAGACGGTCCTAGGTGGGATATGGGTTAGATTTGGTGGTGGCTAGCTCGTGGGGAAACAGGCCGCATGACATACATGTTGTAGGTTGACTTGAGGTATGAGTAGATGTAAAATATTGGTCTTTATAAGGCCCTTGCAGGCTCATGAATCCATAGAGGTGAGACCATGAATCCTATGATGAGTGAGTTCGGTGCTCATGTCTGAACGACGCAGGCCGACAATTCCACCTGCAGGGATGTGCAGAGCTCACATACCTTGTCTCTACTCCCGAGCCCGTCTTGGTGTGTTATCTCTTTTTTGCGGTCCTAGATACTGGATTCTCCGTGTGTTGTTGATCACAGAGAGTGGCCGGCTGCCTTGAAGCCACCTTCATGCGACGGCGGTGCTGGAATATAGCGACCGAGGAACAGAGCCTCGCTGCTTTTAGCGCGAGATCTAGTAATAGACGGTATATATCGTCTCCTATAAAGCTCCCAGAAGCAAACAACAGCTATGTTTGGCGAAAGTAGCGTAAAAGTCAATGGAAGGCGAATCAAAATTAGATACCAAGTATCTTATCTTCTTGACATCTCTTATCGCACAAGTACACCTTGCATCATGAATCTATCAGGTCACAATTGCAGTTGCAGTTGCAGCTGCAATACGGAGAAATAGCACGGAGGGATAACTACGGCAGCGGCAGCGCTAGTCCTGTTGAGGCAACGCTGAACGCGCCTGAGCACGGGCTTAGAAAGCGGCTGGTCGCCAGAACTTTGCGAGAGTCTCACACTCTCACACCATTCAACTTGCTTGTTGCAGCGGCATGTCCCGGGGATTGCTCAATCTTTTGATTTAAGAATTAATAAGGAGCAACCCCATCTGAACCCTCCTTCTGATGCCAGTCGCTCTTTAGAAGCTGCAGCAGACGAATTCAACACAGAGCAATCATGTCTAATCGCACGTCACGCCCGAAGCCTCCTCCGCCAGGCAACGAGGAAGCCTCTGCGACGCTGAACCTGGGCGAATTTCAGCATGTCGACACCCTCACCCTTTCAGAAGCTGCGCTCGTCCTCAATGCGCTGGTTGCGAAGCGCCGAAACGATCGCAAGAACGTGAACGAGACAGAGTATGTGAATGATGATTCCTGCAGCTGGAAGACGGAGGACGAGGCAGAGGACGAATCGCTTTCTTTGGCGGATGGCTAACCGTGGAATCGCCTCTTTTCTTGTAGGATGCTGAACCAAACCCTGAACTACCTGGATCACTTTGCGCGTTTCACGCAGAAGGAGAACGTCGAGGCCGTTGAGCGCCTGCTCAGTGCGCACAAGGACCTGGCGAAGTTCGAACGTGCACAGCTTGGTACCTCAACCCCCTAGATTGCGGCGAGAAGAGAGAAGGAGGGAGGCAATATGACGGAATGGCTAACAATTGTTGTCTTTACAAGGGTCGCTTTGCTGCGAAAACGCCGACGAAGCCAAGACGCTGATCCCGTCCCTAGCGGACAAGATTAAGGATGAGGATTTACAAGACCTGCTAGACGAAATCTCGAAGCTCCAGAACCGATGATGACGAGGGGATGGATTATGTTTTGTCTCTCTGCCGAGGTCTATGGCCATCACGAAACGTTGATATACTGCTCCACGAGGAACCGAGAATACTAGACTGCTGATATACGGATACGCAAGACCGATGGATACAGTCGGATTAGGGCCGCAGGTGTTTGCATCGTCTTTCTCTTTTTCTCCTTTTTCATTTTTCCAATTATGTTCTGTTTTCTACTACTTGGGCGCTTGGGAGAAGGTTATATAATTTGTTTTACGCGTGGACAATTGTAAAAGTACGGTAGGGCAGCTAAATACCCCTGATAACCTATGGGAAAACGAATTCGATTAAATTGTCTTGTCGACTATACCCTATGCCTACCCTGGCACTTGCAGAGTTGGTATGAAAGAACGAGGAGAACATTATTATTTGAACAGTCATTTGTCTCGACCCCTTTTCTCCATGTTGCTGCTATTACTTCAAAGCATAGCTGTATCAACGTCGGACTTCATCGTCAGAATATGCCAAATGACATCCATGCTAATGAACGAGCAGCGTATGTCATATGGCCTTCTCTACCCCATTATCTCTCCATTCTCTCCCTTTTCCCTGAGAAAGAATCTCACTGCTGTGCTTCTCGTCACCCCTTCCTTACATCTATCTGGCCCACTCTCTACATCTTATCCCAAGTGCTTATACTGATTCCAGTGATTGACATACACCGGCTGGCCATCGTCTGTCGGTACCGAAGTGAGGTTAGCACGGGGGTCCGTAGAGTTGACCTCTTGAACGGGCTCGAGACGAGATGCCTTGCGATCAGCCTTGTCTAGGTCCGACGCGCTCACAGCAGGTAACTCGACCGGGGCGGCGCTGCTTCCATCCATTTCGAAAGCACCACTAGCTGGTCGATAAGGATCTTCGGGCTGATCTGCTCGACCTAGGACTTGTTAGTCAGAAAATAGGGATAACATGGCGACAATTTCCAAACGGGACTGAATCTCACCTCCAAAGGGGGCAAAGGGATCACTGCTTCCTTGAGTGCCGTCGGCGTGAGTCGGTCCATTATGGGGGAAGTGCTTCTCGTCGACGGCGTCATCTCGGCCGTTATCATGGCGGAGAACAGAGTCGGTTTCGGACCCGCGACGCTTCTTGTGGCGTGCCAGCGCGAGCATCAGGACCACGGCAATGGCGATGAGAACAGCACCGCCGACAGCTATTCCAACAATGGCTCCTGTTGATAGAGGACTTGCGCCTGGAGCCCCAGAGGGGCTTGCTGTGCTGTTGTCATTAGCGGGTGAGGATGGTGGCACTCCCGTGAATGTTGCTGTGGTTGATGCTGTGATTGGCGTGCCGCTTCTCGTCGATGCGGTATCTACGAGGTCTGAGGTGGACGTTGATGGCCTGCCTGTAGTGATGGTTGTGTGCCTGGTGATTGTGACTATCGAGTTGTTTGGGATCGTATGAGTGATGCCAGAGTCCGTCATGACTACAGAAGATTTCTTCGTGGTTGACGAAGTCGTCTCTGTTACCTGCTGGTTCTGGTCAACTTCAGTTGGAGTTGACGTCGCCTCGTCAGAGTTCGGCTCCGAGGTTGTCAAACTATCATCATCTTTGCCGTCGTCTTTGGGATCTTTCAGTGATCCAAAGGTGTCTGGGCAAGAGTGCAGGGCGCAGGGATCCGTGGAGCAACATCCTCTAAATTTGTTGGCAACACAGGAGTAGAACGTTGTGCCTGGCGAGCAGCCATCTTCTGGAAGAGCAACAAAGGAGCTGGGAAACATTGTGGATGCGAGGCGATGGCGAAATGCGTAGTTTCTTCTCTCCGCAAAAGAGAAAGAAAGGGAGATGTTCGCCCGTTTCCCTGTGATTTCTTTCACCAAACAAGGCTACCTGGGTAGGGTAGAGAGGAAGATTAAGGTGGGTTGCCAGCCAGCTGGCGAGTGTCTGTAGAGGCTTGCCTGGCACTGTCAGGGAATTCGGGGAATCGTCTGCGTCGCATTCGACAAGCCCTAGAGCTTGTCCAAAACCGAGGCTGTGGCAGTTTTCCTACCCGTAGCTGTGTGAAACAGCGGGCAGAAAATAATCTATAGGGAAGTAAAGGAAAGGGTAAATAAATCAATGGATGCGAATGAAGCAGAAGAGGCGTTGGTGAGGCAGTGATGCAGAGCCAGTGTTGGGCGCTGGAATGGCTCCGGTCTGCGTGATAAACACAGCCTATTAATGCCTTTGAAACAGCTGAACAAACGTAGACATAGAATTGGTCAAGGTAAAAGAAAACCCACTGAAGAAAAAAAAAAGACGAGGACAAAGGAAAAATGCTGTTTGGGATTAACGCCTGGGGGACCAGAATATGTGAACTTTGGGGGTGAACAAACGCAGGCGTCAAACTGGAGGCAAACGAAACAAAACAAAAAACGTGAACAGTGAGAGAAAAAAAAAGTTTCATTTTGATTCTGCTATCGGCCGAACTGTATTGTTAAAAGACGCCCAATCCCTTGCAGAGACGCTTCTTTGTCAGCCAAAGGCGAGGCATTCCATGTCAAATCAGGGGCACATCTCGAGTTGCCTCGTTTCTTGATTTCCTGCCTTGATGTTTTCGTGCTACAACGCCTTGATTTGGTACGACTATGCTACATCTATATAGATGTCCCGAGAACAAATACATAGTGGTCTACCATCAAATACTCTCTCAAGCTTGTATTCTTGGAATCATTTGCATCACTTCATCCAGCAGCAGTCAAACGCATTCTAAGAGCTCTTGGGCAGCAACTCGGACCAGTCTGCGATCCCATATACAAGTAGTACCTGTAAGTATTCTCGGTGTTCTTTGACACACCTTTCTCAAACTCTTCAGGGGGACGATTCGCCAGAGCACAAACAACTCGGCTCCTCGCAGACATCCAAAACGCAAACCAACCGAAGCACCACATACTTACTCCCCGCGATGCTTCGCCCCGTGTAACAGACAGCGGCGCGAAGAAAGCCTTCTCTTTGCCTGATGATTTTCTTCACTCTCACTATATATAGACAGTTTCACGCCAAGGCACTTGTTGGGTTTGCAAACACTTGAAAATCATTATATTAGGCTGCTGCGGTGGAAAAGAAAGAATAGAGCGATAAGAGGCGTGGCTCTCACTACATGCTCCGCTGGGGATATGAGAAATATGATGACCATCTGCAGCTCTTCATAGCTTTTCTAACAGCAGCTTGCTACCCTTGTTACCCACAGGCGCCTCCGTCTTCTTGCTCTTCTTCCCAGCCTCGTCACTCTCGTTGGCCTCCTTGGCGGCCTTTTGCTCCGCGGTGGGTTCAGTCGCCGCCGTTTGCAGCAGCTTCTTGTTCTTTTTCAGCGTCTTCTTCAGTTCTTCCGCACTGGTGAATTCTTCGCTCTCAAGCAAAGCCACGACGACGAATGAACTTGGCCCAGTAGCCCAATCCATGATGTGCTTCTTGACAACAGGGTACAGAATGTTAGAAAAGCCCAACGGTGGCTCAATCAGCTTCACCTTTCCAGTGGCTCTGTCAAAACGGCCACCTTGGATGAGAGACTTGAGCATGCGGCCTCCGAATGGTGTGTTGGCAATGTGCGACCTAGGGGCAATTTCGTCTTCTGCTGGCTCCTGCTTGGGGCTGCCACTGCCAGACTGGGCGAGGGCCTCGAGCGCCTTCTGCTTGTCTCCAAGTCCGGAGAGAAGGACATCGGCGACAAACTGGCAGCCGAACGGCGTTGCCGTGAGGTCAGAAGGCGAGGCCGCAATTGCATCTATCAAAGAAGGCGATAGAATTGCAGCAAGTTCTTTGCGTCGAACGTCATCTTCCTTCTTGCTTGTGGTTTTGCGGATCTCATGTACCTCCTTGAGCACCTCCAAGTCATAGGCGTTGCTGGCAGGGAACAGCGACTTGGAAAAGCCTTCGAGTAGATAGAGAAGTGTAATTCTGGCATTGGGGTTGTTGGCGGCGGCAACAATGTTCTGTGCGATTTCCTCTTCTTTTTCTCCAACGAGCTCTGGGAATATGGCTTTTGAGGTCAGCTTCGTGTCGTCAATAACATCGTAGGCTGTCAGGAGCACGATGTGGCCGTATTGATCTCCCGACATCAGCGTAAAGGTATCCTTGTAAGCTTTCAGCAGCACCTTTCGATCTTTGGCCGTGCCGTACGCCAACAGAAGGCAGACAAGCCTTGCGCCAGAGCGAGTAAAGGCAAGGTTCTTGAGCAAATCGCCCGCCTCGTCACCCTTGATCAATTCCATGAATTCGTTGAATTCTTCGGATCCTGGCTGGGTATTTGTGAAATACTGGAGCATTGCGTCGTGTAGCATGGTGAAACCGGTCATTCGTTTCTGGACAAGTGAGTTGATAAGGTCCAACAGACTCTTCATGATGGGTCCTCGCTTGCTTGGCTCCTCATCCAGGATCTGCTTCAGATCCGAAGTTGTCTTGATGTCCTTGGTCAACTCCTTCAAAGTGAACTCGGGTCCAAACCATTCACGCAACAAAAGGGACTTCTGCTCCTTCGTCGCGACCGTCCGGTAAATGTCGTCCAAGATCCACGAGGCCTCAGAGTGGTTTATGAGCTTTCGAACTTTGCCGTAGAAGTTGGGTATGATGATGTCGCGGATTTCATCGTCATTGTGGACAAGGAGCTTCCCAATGAGAAACTTGGCGTAGCGTCCTTCAGCAAGCTGCGCATACGTTCCCTGGAGTTCCTGAGCAATCTGTTTTCGCTGCTCCGGTGTGGAATATTTAATCGCAGTTTGCACAGCTCGGACAGCGTCATGCTTCAGGACAAAATCTCGGATGCGGCCTGTAATGATTTCGTATAGCTCTGCCACCAACTTCTGTCGCTCATCCTTGGGAACATGGGACTTGAGGCGCAATCGTTCCCAGATCTTCTTGGTCCGCTGAACTTCGTCGGCTAGAGGTTTGGCAGCTTTTCGCTCTAGAGCAAGTTGCTTCTGTTTCGCATGCGACTCCCGAGAGCTTTGTTGCTCTGATTCTAAGTCAGTAACAAGCCAACAATGCGGGCGTGAGAAGAATAAAACACACCAGATCCGGATGCCTTCCCATTTGATGCCTCCTCCAAACGAGGCTTCTTATTCTTGAAGTCGCCCTTTTCTTTCCCGTCTGAGGCAACCTTTCGTTTGCTATTATACGTGAGGGGTTTGGTCGCCATTGTGATTGACGTATTACTTGTTTTTGGAACAAGCAATTGAATTTGATACTCTGAGGTAAATCAGTCCAGCAGACTCAAAAGTCTGGACATCCGATATCAATGGGCTGTAGGCTAGTGGTAGAATAATTTTTTTGGAATATTGCCGGGCGGTGAACGCTAAAGTGGAACGGAAATCTCTTATCTTATCTCACAAGCGCCACCAATTGTAGCCAAAAAGGGATCCACTAGCACATACGAAATGTCCAGCGTCTGAAAGCACAGGCGTGTAACCTGTCGCCTCTATGTATGGATATAGGTATCATATTAATATGTACTTTCTCCTAACATTTTTCTTAGATCAGAGGGAAAGTTTTGTATACTGCTGCATTATTCCTTGAATAAACGCAAACTGCGATAAATCTACATTGTTGCCAATTTTGGTATCAATTCAGTCCAGACATCTCATGTATCAAGTCCGGCAACTCAAGCAATATGTACATATGCATGCCAAAGAAGATATAATGCTACCAACCGAAGCAAAGAAGAAAAAAAGATTCCCATGAAATAGCTCAAATCTCCTTAAAAGGTAGGCCCTTCATTTTTGAAGAGCCAGTCGCTATTGGCGTCAATCATGAAATTGGTGATGTTAAACTCGTTTGGCTGGTACTGAGGGTGATCCAGACTCGCGTTTCCCGCAGGCATGTCAGAGTTTGGCATTAGCCCTTCGGTGGCTCCAGAGAGGTTCTCTCCGCCAAATGGCAATCTTGGAACGTTGAAGAAGTTGAAAACGTCCAGATACTCCAATTCGTTCTGTGCTGGCGTCTTCGCGGGAGTCATGCCCCCTAAATGTCCGTGGCTCTGGGGACCATTTCTCGGCTGCCGCGATATGAGGAAGTCTAGATCAAATGCCGTCCGACGCATATCGGCTAGGATTTTGACTGAGCTAGGCGTGACTCCGTTGCCTTGTCTTTCGCTGTCTCGATGCTCGTCAAGAACTCGCTGTAACAGCCCAGAGTATCCAGCAGCCACAGGCCAGTATCGTCCCATCTCGCGCAAAATGTCGACGAAAAAGGAGATTTGGGGCGAGAGCTTATGCTCGACCGTGGAGCCATGGACTAGAAGCACCCGCGCAGCAACCCAAATTGTGAAGGCAAATGGCGGGCCTAGTTTTGGCAGGAAGCCATTGTTCACAACGAAATCCCCCAGTGCAGATATATTCTCGACAGCGCCGTGGCATCTTTGTGCGGCACTGAATGATGGCGTGAAGATGGCTGATCGAGTCGTTGGGTAGGCCGCCGAGGAATGTAGTCGAATTACAGCGGTATGGTAGGTCGCATGGAGCATGATCCAGTTACAGTTCAGATTTCTGCTTCCTGGCTGAAAGACTTTGCCCATATTTCCAAACTCCCCAGGAAGAGCGAAATTCCACGATGTCAGCTCCTTGTCAAGCTCCTTGTACTGAAGCTGCCATTTTTCAACATCGGTAAGCTTCCCGATATCTACAGGCCGCTTCAAGAACTTGTGGATCTTGGAAAGAATTCCGAGGATTTCAATGTAGTAGGCGAAAGCGCCCAGATTCTCTGGCCTCCCAAGTGTCTGCTGGTGGTTTTCGTCAACATTTTGAGCGCTCGTGACGAACCATCGCGTTTCTACTTTTTGGTTCTCCATCCACATGTCGTCACGACAAGGAAGCATTCGGTCAATCTCCGTATCGGCCAACGCAAACTCAAAGGCAGTAGCAATGGTTGCGTATCTATCGAGGAGATATATCATCCAGAATATCCTCCTTCGCGATTCTTCCTCTATAAAATCCTTTGGCTCGGGAAGAATCATGGCGCGAAGGGTGTATATCGAGGTATAGTGAGGTGCCACGCTGAAAGAATTAGTCTCAACGGCCAATCCCAGTTGCACCACCGACCTAGTGATGAGGGCCATTATGTTCCACCCGGGAGGGCCATTGCTACTACCGCATAGATCCAGGGCGAGTATGAGCAAAGCCAGAAGCGACTTGACAGATGAGTTTTCCATGCCGTAAAGTAAGACTTTCTGCTTTGAGACGCGGTGATAATGCTGCCTCCGCTCTTCAGTAAGCCTAGGGTCGCTGGAGAACCGCATAGTGGTTGCAACTATGGCATGAAGGAGGATTCTGTCTGCCTCTTGAAGATCGGAGATTCCGAATAGATTATCTAGCGTAGTCCTTCGATGAAGTATTGGACACCAAGTGTTGATATGTTTAAAGTACAGGTCCACTAGATTGTACACTAGATTGTAAGGTGGCAAGTCATCGGCATCGGTGGAGGGCAAAGGCGCGCCCGGCGTAGGCGTAACCGTGGACATGGCGATGCCTTGCTGAGCCGGAAGGTCGGATACGGGGCCGGAGATGGAACCACCAGGCAAAGGCGTTCGGCCCTGGTACTCGTTGTGGGCCTGTTCGGTAGAGGCAGGCCCGGAAGGGCCATTGCTTGGATGAGAATTATAGAACAAATTGTTGTTCATGTGAGACGCTTGATAAAGCTTGGATGAGCCTAGATTGTTGCTGGCCTCGCTTTGAGTATCGTGATCGCTCGCAAGATTCTGGCGCCCAGCATGGGCACCGGATTCAGAGGTTTCTGGACGGAGCGATGGCAGCGGTGATGTTTGGAGCAATTCAGAATGTTTTCGCAGAATCTCTTCCATTTTGTCCAGCCTCAATTCCATTTCACGGCTTCTATTCTCCAGAAATCTCCCAAAGCCTGCTCGCAAACCCGGCGGTTTTCGTTCCTTGTATTCGCATTTCTGGCCATGGCGTTTACACCAGCCACACGAAGGCTGGCCGCGATCACATTTCACCTATAACGCAGCAAGACCGAGAAAAACGCGTTAGACAAGCCAAATATAGATTTTCGAATAATCGGGGAATAGAGGGATGTCAGAAAGGATAATACCTTGCGCTGCTTGCATAACTCGCACCTGTTGATTCATTGGTTAGCAACAGATTGCAATTGGAATGAAATCAAGCAAGATGAAGCTTGTTGTAGCCACGATTTAACCAGGTCATGACTTCGTGCTTTGAACCAGCGTTTCGCGCCAGGGCTGCACTTCACACCAGGTCACATCACACATAACGCCGGGGAGGATACAGGACGATAGACGTACGAAACTGAGATGGGCCGCTTGCGCTTGGCCGTCTGAGAGGTCGGATCCGCGTCATTGTCGCTCTGGTCGTCGCTGTCAGGCTCAGGCTGGCGATCAGCGACGGAGGTGGAGGACGGCGGCGACGGTCGTTTGTTATCCTCGCTACCGCTGCGCATGACGCCTCAGGCTGACAAGAGACGGAGCCTCGCAAGGTGAGCCCAAGTTGCTCGACTCGAAGCCTTGTTTCGGTGGATTGACGATCCGACACCGAACAGCCGTGATGATTGGATGGTCGGTAAGCGGGGCGAGCAGACAGACGGCGAGCGGTGAAGGGGCGAGCGGCGAGAAAGGATTTGGAGCATGCGCACGCGTGGTTTCGGGATAAAGACGAGCGGGAGGATGTTGGGCGTCCGGGTCAATGATACTAAGCCGATGATGCGGAGCTGATGTTTGTCCTGGGGCAGAGAACGGAGCAGCCAGGCCGCGGCAGAGCTGACGAGAAGCTCATTGGTGGCCCCAAAGTTGACGAGAGCCGGAGAGTCTGGCCTACTGCGGGTTGCTAGTGTGCGGAACCCACCATGTGGAGATGAATGAACTGATGGGGAAGATGAAGAGGAGAAAGAGGGGATTTTTGGACGACAATTATGATGAGTATGTACACGCGAGGCTATCGAATGCTGAAGCCGATTTCGCTAAGCTATAGGGCAACGTGCTCGTTCGTAGTCGTGAAGTACCTAAAAGTAATGGATCCATCTCTTACCTCCGGATCCCTATTCGAAACCACTGCTAGAGCCGTTCATCGCGATGCACATACCACAGATTTCTTGCCCTAAGCGCTTAGGGGAAACCTGCCTACCATGCCCAGTAGCCAATAGAGAGCCGTAGGGCTTAGCAGATGCAGCGGGTGAATGGGTGGAATATTCATCGAATGCTGTGTACTGGGTCCTAACTTGAGTCGGCCAAATGTTCAGGCTCATCATAACAGGCTGTGTAAATGCTCACTGCAGGTAATACCGCTCACTTCATGTACGCGCATGCCAATTCTATCCATAGTATCCATTGTTACTATTAGGTAGGCACTATCTTGCTGAGTCCCATCTCTCCATCTTCCAATCGCCATCTTTGTAAATCGTAGGTTTCTTTCACGACTCGCAAAGCGCCCGTCCCTGGTCCGCATCTGCATCGTTCGACCACGATCCATCCATATCGTCACATCTCGACAAGGCGGCCTTCGGGTCATCTCAGCCCGACACTCGTCAACACCACCAGCACCCCACATGTGTGATTTGTACACCGTTACCCGCATCTCCAGTGGCCGCCTTAAACCCATCTCTACAAATTAAATTTTCCAGATCTCGTCCTTCTTCTGTTGCTGCAAGTTATTCCTTCCGTCGACTTGGCCATTAATCATCATGCAAGGCTCTGCAAGGCAGTTTCCTACGATTAAAGCCGTGCGATCCTACGTCATTGGCGGCGTAGGCTCCGGTATGTACAGACTTCACAAAGTCGTTTACGGCTCAAGTCTGATTTTACATGTTCTTACAATTGATGTGAAATAGGCGGTGATTATCACAATGTCAAAGGAGGTCACTGGTACGTAATGTCCTTACGAAGGCTTAGTGCACTTCTGAACTATGGTCGTTAACTCCCCTTCCAATAGGCTCATTGACAGTGACATCTCCACGCCATGCTCACAATGGGCTCAGTACCGCAAGTCGCGTACTAGTTGGGGTATCAACGTTCTGGGGTCTTTTCTGGTCGAGATAGAGGCATCCGATGGAACTGTTGGCTTTGCAACTGGCTTCGGAGGTAAGAATCCTGGCAGCTTAACTCTAAAATCGAATTTCCTCGAAGTCCCAAAATCATTGGAGCTCTCATGGTGTTAACTCAACTCCTTTTAACAGGTCCTCCTGCCTGCTGGCTGGTTCACCAGCATTTTGAGCGATTCCTGGTTGGCGCTGATCCGAGAAACACGAACCTTCTCTTTGAGCAGATGTATCGTGCTTCCATGTTCTATGGCCGCAAAGGACTTCCCATCGCCGTCATCTCTGTCATTGATCTTGCACTCTGGGATTTGCTAGGCAAGGTCAGGAACGAGCCTGTCTATCGACTCATTGGTGGGGCTACCAAAGAACGCCTCAACTTCTACTGCACAGGACCCGAACCAACCGCAGCCCGAGAGATGGGCTTCTGGGGTGCCAAAGTGCCGCTCCCCTTTTGCCCTGAGGAAGGCCACGAGGGACTGCGGAAAAATGTCGAGTTTTTGCGCAAACACCGTGAATCTGTCGGACCAGATTTCCCCATCATGGTGGATTGCTACATGAGCCTCAATGTCTCTTATACCATTGAGTTGGTCAAGGCGTGTGCCGAATTCAACATCAACTGGTGGGAAGAGTGCTTGTCTCCCGATGACACGGATGGCTTCGAGCAAATCAAGCGTGCGCACCCGACGGTGAAATTCACGACCGGCGAACACGAGTACTCTCGCTATGGATTCCGAAAACTCATCGAAGGTCGCAATCTTGACATTATTCAGCCCGATGTCATGTGGCTAGGCGGCATGACGGAGCTGCTCAAAGTCTCAGCCATGGCTGCGGCATACGATATTCCCGTAGTTCCCCATGCCAGTGGTCCTTACAGCTACCACTTTGTCATTTCGCAGCCAAACACACCGTTTCAAGAGTATCTCGCCAACTCTCCTGACGGCAAGAGCGTCCTCCCCGTCTTTGGCGATTTGTTCGTCGACGAACCGATCCCAACCAAGGGTTATCTTTTGACAAGCGATCTGGATAAGCCTGGATTTGGCTTGACCATCAACAATGCTGCACGCTCTAAACTCATTCCTTCAAACTACCTCCTTAGCCCTCCGCCTGTACAGCAGCCCGCGCCCCCTGTTAATGGCGAGGGCAAGCTTCACAATGGCGATTCAGAACACGCGTCAACAGCATGAATGAGGATGCATGCTAGAAGAAGTTTATATGGCGATGGTTAGTAGTGTCTACGTACATATACGTATATAGATGCGTCGTCAGGCGATCTAAACGAGCCCATGAGGGTAGGGATATTGTCAATAGGCTTAAAAGAGGAGGGGCATTAGATAGCAATGCAAGACTGTAGTAAATTTCACACACATGTTCAAACCTCCGCAAGAGTAAAACCTCATCGCAGTTTGCCACTAACACGATCTTGTCAATTTTCCTCTCTGCGTATCTCAGTGGTGAACAGGGCTCAGGGCCTCTACTCCTTGCGCGATACAGACTTTGATAAATCGATTGCAAAGTGCCCACGAGTGAGGATATGGATACATCGAGTAATACTCCATAAAATTGCATCGTGCTAAAACCTGGGGAAGTTTTGGGTAATCAGCTTGAAAAGGTATCGTGACCCACCAGATTGAGATTACCTGCCTGCACTTTTTGCGCTCACTCCCCTCGATCGAAAGAGATCGTGAAGAGCTATACGGTGGCCCTCGAGCGTTTTCGACCCGCTCTTCCAGGACCCAGAACTTCACGATAGTTCACCATCACACCGTATTGTGGGCCAAGCAAAACGGTGGCTGCTTAGTCGGGGTTTCCTCGCCCTAGCAAGCCCCGAGAGTTCGGATTGATTTCTGCCGCAGATTAACGGATCTCGTCAACTCGGAGCCGCATTTATAGAGCCATCGGAATAGCCTCACGACAGATCTGGCATCTGTAAAGGAAGACATTGACGAGCCAAAAAGGTGCCATTAGCCCCCGCGTCTACCTTTTTGCACGCGCCTAATTATTACTAGGTAGACTGTTTCCCCGCATTGTGAATAACCAGAAGGCAACAAACGATTTTGTGAGACTTGGCGGCCTCTATTTCTTACTGCATATCGACTTCTAGATAAGTTATATATCCGAGCACTTGACTGCTTGGATTTTACTTTTATCAGGGAACTTCAAGTTCCATCTTAAATCGACACTGGACTACAGTCGCCACTACTATCGCCAGTATGCCGCTAAAGGGCCTTCTGGCAGGCAAAACCGCGATTATAACAGGGGGAACAACTGGTATCGGACGGGCCATCTGCCTCGGCTATCTTCGTCAGGGATGCAACGTTGTTGTTAACCATCTCGGCCTGGAAAGGGACCAGAAGCACCTAGACTCGCTCATAGCCGAAGCGGGTGCCATCCTAGCAGAGGACCCTACCGCTGGTCGTCTTGCTCATGAGGCTGGAGACGTGCGTCAGGTTGCAACAGCGGCCAAGCTGGTGGCCACGGCGGTTGAACATTCTGGCCCGGCACGGCGTCTCGATATCTGCGTCTCCAACGCCGGAGTGTGTACTTTTGCCGACTTTCTGACGCTGTCGCCAGACTTGCTGGAGACCACGTTTAGGACGAATGTTGACGGAGCCTTTTACATCACGCAGGCGGCCGCTCGACAGATGGCACTGCACCAGAGCCCCTCCGGCGGCAGCATCATCGGCATGTCGTCCATCTCGGCGCTGGTTGGTGGCGGTCTACAGACACATTACACACCGACCAAAGCTGGTGTGACGAGTCTGATGCAGAGCACCGCAGTGGCTCTGGGCAAATACGGCATCCGCTGCAACGCGTTGCTTCCAGGGACGATTCGAACGCAGCTGAACGAGGAGGATCTGGCTGATGACGCCAAGCGGAGCTACATGGAGGGCAGGATACCTCTTGGGCGAACGGGCGATCCGGTGGATTTGGCGGGGCCGGCCATCTTTCTTGCTTGCGAGGAGCTGAGTGGTTACGTGACGGGTGCGCAGCTGCTGGTGGACGGCGGTCTGTTTGTTAATCTACAGTAGTAGATTTGGCATCCTGGGCAGCATGGCTGTTTTATTTGGGTGGTTGATTCATTGTTTCAGGCACTTGATGAGAGAATTGTATACTATACACCGTAGACATGGCTTCCAAGTCTCACCACAACAACAACGGCGTCGGTGAAAGGCCATCTACATGTACTTGGCTCTGTAATAATGGCTTGGTTTAACTTGGCTCATGAAACAGCGGCGGCACTTTTGCAGCAAGAGTCCTAAATCAGGGAAAAAGCGCGCAGGGTCCGTATGTCACTATGGAGCTCGTGGTGTTTTGAGCCCACAGCAGCTTGCTGTCGCCATCCCTGCAGGCCCCTGAAATCTGTGACGGGCCAACGGTGACTGTTACATACTGGAAACGCTGTAGACGTCCCAGACAGGCAATGCTCCGAGTTCTCAATCTACTGTCTCAATCATGTTGATTGTTGAAGAAACGCGTTCCTTGTCCGTTGGTTTCCGTGGGGGATCCGCTGCCCCGTTCCGGAGCCGAGCGTGAGCAGCTACAGGCTACCGTGCCGGAAAAGGTGGGTCGGTATTGACGTCACGGTGGAACCGCCAGTCTGGATGCCTCTTTTTCTCTTTTGCATGTGCCAATCAAGGCGGTACTTGTTCCTCACAATTGAATTGGCCGGAGTGGGAGCGGTCTACAGGTACTCACCAGGCTTACGGCGATCCATGCGGGATATTGGCGACTTTGTGGTGCTGTGCGGTATCTCGAGACATCATCATAGGAGGCAGCTTTGGCTACCAGCATCAACTAAACCTGCAGGCGAGCATCCTCCTGCTCCTAGGGGTCGCTCGGATCTACGCCCTAAGGTGATCTGTAAAATCTCAACTCGGCACCGCTTATCATCTTGGCCTTGTTCGCTCGTTCGTCGTAAAATTTTTCTTTCCGTCCAAGCCAATAGGTTGCCTTCCCCTCCCACCACAAGAGTTACACGAGCCCAGGGGTTGTGAGACGTCGCCGATGAGATCGTCATTTGCCTCACCTCATCCGAGCCAGCTGTCACGGCGGTCCTTATCTACTTCGTTATCATTCGCTCCCTCAAAAAAATGCCGCTGGAAAGTTCCAAAGATGTCCACTTTAGGCGAGCGGGAAGGGCGATTGGAGGGAACGTCAACGATACGTATATATTCGTACTGTATCCTGTTCTTGGCGTTTGCCACTATGAGCGCCGTTCGCATGTGGTCGTTACGACGTAGATGGCAATGATCCGCGGCTATCTCACGTCCAGTTATTTCCAAGCATGAAGCTGATAACAACGTGCGTGAACGCGGCTGTATACAATAGCAGGTAAAGTATAATTCAAGTACCGTAATACTATCCAGTTGGGGCGATATCTATGGCGCACTATCGAAAAAAATACCAAACCGCTACCTATTCCCCAAGCTATCAACCATGACATGTCAAGACCCGTCACTTGTCATCACCGAGAGGCTTACTTGGCTTCTTCGTTCCTGGGCTATTTCCTGCTGGGCGGTTTCACAAAGGCTCTTCTCAGACCGCAAGGCGCAAGCCTCTTCAGCCCGCCTACGTAGTGGCTACGCGCAATTCTCCACAGCGCCGTCATCTTGCCATTGTCATGCCCGCGACTTCACGTGTGTGGAACCAGAGTGTGGATAAACAACTGGAGACGTATCACGGCTTGCCACTTTTTTTTGACGAAATACAGACAATGAAGACAGAAAACCTGGAGAAGGAAATGACTCAAGATGCTCGAGCAATACTCGAGTGGAACCACGTGGAGAGCTCCAGAAATTCTGTGTGCACTCAGGGGGTGCAAGATAGAGAGAGAGAATGAGACGGCGAGAGGTATAAAAGACCTAGATATCCTCACCGTTCGAGACGGTAGAACCATTGCATCCACAGAAGCCTCACTAACAATCTAATACCTTGAAGAGTTGTTACCTATTTCCCCATCACTCTTCCCCTTCTTTTATCCGGCAACAGCATTGAAACATTACACCAGCAACAGGAGGCATCAAATCCATCAACATGGCAACCCTCAGCAAGGAGCAGCAGACCGAGTTCTACCAGCACGTGGCTCGAGTCAAGCAGGACATTGACGAGAGAGTAGCGGATTCTGATTCCATGCCCAGTTCACCCGAGTTGGCGTCGTCAGCTAGCTCTAGAGACAGTGTCTCCAGCATCCCAACCCCCATATCCCCCATCGACTCTTCTGCCGTTGCCGACTCTTTTGTCTTTGCATTTGATATCGATGGCGTGCTTGTCCGAGGCGGCCGCCCGATTCCAGAGGCTATCGAGGCTATGAAAGTCCTTGACGGCGAGAACGAATACGGAATGAAAATGTAAGCTAACCTTACAACACACATACTCATTGCGTCGTGTGTCTAACCTTGAATTTGCTCCTAGTCCTCATATTTTCCTGACCAACGGTGGCGGCAAGACTGAAGAGGAGCGCTGCCAGGATCTATCACAACAGCTCCAGCGAGAGATCAAGCCCGGCCAGTTCATCTGCGGACACACTCCCATGAGAGAAATGGCTGAGAAGTACGGCACGGTCCTTGTCATTGGAGGCGAGGGCGAGAAGTGCCGTCTCGTCGCCGAAGGATACGGCTTCAAGGACGTTGTTACACCAGGCGACATCATCAAGCACAACGCCGCCACAACACCCTTCCGGAAGCTGACACCTGAAGAGCTTGCCAACTCGCGTGAGCGAGATTTCGATGATGTTGTCATCGATGCCGTCTTTGTGTTTGCCGACTCTCGTGACTGGGCTGGCGACATTCAGATCATGCTGGATGTGGCCATGTCTCAGGGAGGGCGACTTGGAACTCGCAGCGAGACGTTTGACGAGGGTCCCCCATTCTACTTCTCCCACAACGATGTCGTCTGGTCTGCTGCTCACGAGCATGTCCGCCTCGGCATGGGAGCTCTCCGACGCATGTTCGAAATTACATTCAAAGACCTCACCGGCGGCAAGGGCAAGCTGCACACGCACGCCTTTGGCAAGCCTCAAGTCTCGACGTTTGAGTTTGCTGAGCGGCTGATGCAAACCTGGCGAAGCGCCGAGCACAACATCTCTGGTCCTCCCCAGACGGTGTACTTTGTTGGTGATACACCCGAGAGCGACATCCGTGGCACAAATGCCATCAATGACGTTGCCGACAATGATTGGTACAGCATCTTAGTCAAGACCGGCGTGTATCAGGAAGGCACAGAGCCGACTTACAAACCTCGCGCTACCGTGTCTACCGTTCTTGATGCCGTGAACCATGGCATCCAGCGTGAGATGCGCAAGAAGGTCGTGTCGTCGCTCAAGCGAGACGTTCTGGGAAAATCAGACTGTGTTGCAGCTGAGAATGGCCCTGCCATCTTTGACGAAGACATGCTTGTCTCTGCATAAAGGTTCAACGATATAAGCATTTTGAAATGGCATTTCGCGGCGGAGTATTTGGAGTTCAAAAAAGAGGGAAACCGAAACATTTGGATTCGCTCATGCGACACGACTGATTCTTCCTTTTCTTTATACTTTCCCTTTTAAGACTGGTTTCAGAACTCAAGTGTTGGCAAGCACTTGCATATCATGACGAGAGAGGATAACTATTACTCTCTCATTATTTTCTTTCTTCTTTTTACACCTTCTTTTCTCATCAGACAGACTGATGGATGCCCCTTTTTATATACCCCTAGCGATTATCCAACTGGTATCAGAGCGCATTACAATGAGATGCTAGACAGTCTCTTCTAGATAGATTTATAACAACGGTTTATAGGTAACTCAACGTATACACAATTATCTACATGTTCCATGGTCTTTGTTCTGCATAAATGACATGAATTACTCGTCGAAAGTAAACTTTCCCCATGGTGATGCCGCAACCCAACCAGCACTGTCAACGACTTCCTGCCTATTGGAGCGTCTTTCAAAGGCCTCTTCCATAGTCACTCTCATAGAATATTCCGCAGCGTGATCTCGCTCAACATGAAGCCAGCCTTTCCATCCAGCAACCAAGTCACCCGCTCCTAGTCCACCCAGCACAATCGTACCCCAAAATTCACGAGAGAGAGACGCCGCCGAGGAGCTGTCGTAGACCAAGGAGCGTTCAGCATCTGCGATGAGCGATCGGATGAGTTCAACATCGGTGCCTGAACTTTCGCTGTATGGCGCCTGTTGGACGTAGACATGCTGCAAGTCATCATCCGTGCATGTGAGGCGAGTAGCATCAAAGCGGCCGTCAAGATCGAGGACGAACAGCGCCATGGAATGGGGCGGCGAGACGAGCGTCGATATCACCTTGTATATCAGCGGGAGGCTGCGGCCAGATACGGAGATTGTGGGCGCCTGGGTGGCTCGAAATTGCCGGCCAGCGAGATGATCAAGCTCTTCCAAGTGCGTGCTTTTGACTCGCCTGGTAGCGGTCCCGATTGTTTGAGTCTTTTCTAGGGCGAGGGACGAGCGAAAGCTGTCGAGGACCTGTTGCCATACCTCACAATATTAGCATTGATTATCGTGAAGAGTACATGTAGTGGGCAAGTGTAGTGATTTAGAGGTGCAGTCGGCTGAGATCCTTCTTCTCTTTCCTCATCTCCTACTTTTTTTCCTTTATTTATGAAAACCGACCTCTGCTGCTTGTTCTTAACACAAACCCCCATATTTGTGAAATTGTGGCGATTCGGTGCACTTTGGGTGATTTTTCGCACCTCCGGACCACAGCCCTGGGCGCATACGGAAACTTCCCCCCAAGCAACCAGCGTCGGAATCTCATCAAAAACTCACCTCTTCCAAACTGGCCTCCTCAACAGCCTTCAGCAACTGTCCGCCTATCGCCGCCTCCATCCTCTCACTCTCAATAAGAATCTCGCATACAACCCAGCCGCAAATGACGCCTCCCTGCCGCTCATTCCCCGCCTCGGAGCTGCCTCTTCGGATCCAGCAGGACGTCTCGGGCCGGCGCCGGAAGCTCGATGGCGCAGGCTCAGTGTCCCGCAAGATTGATCTCTCGACGTGTGAGCTTTTCCAGATGCTGCAGTACAAATGCGAGGTTCAGCGGCCGCTGTCGCGCGAAAGCCCGGTTCGCTGCTTTGCCGTAGATCGGCTGTTTCGAAGGTAGAGTTTGGAACCCCCACCAAAGCATCGACGATGATTTTTGGACTGTGACTGTGTGCCCCTCGGTTGAAGCATTGAGTCGCCTGCTTAGTGCTGTCGTTGCTAACAATGACCAAAATAGGTGCAAGGACAAACAAGGCACGTTTACTGTAGAGACAACGGCATGGGAAGGGGAGAGAGCTAGAGCGGACAGCGGCTCTGAAGGTACCAAGACGAAAGAGCCGCCTAGGCCGCACCAGTGGTCATCGAGCTGGCATGATGCCGACGAAGCATCGCCATGATGCGCCTGGTTTGCTACATTACGAGAGACGGCAAGACGAGTTCTTTACTGGCTACTTGATCGAAACCTACGACCCCTGAGATGGTCCCCGCCACCAGGATGAGCAGTGTCGGACATGACCTGAGCATACATCTTAGGCCCAGACGCTCACAAATTGCTACACACTGCAGCCACCTAACTCAGCGAAATGACCCTAGAGGCTCTCTGAATTGATGATTGCGCTCTTATGGTATCGGACGTTGATTTATAAAGCTTATAAAGCTGCATGCCGATGAGGAAGTTATGATCCCCTCGGCACAAGAGTCAAATAGAATGGCTACGGATAGTTGGCTTCGCACAGCACATGATTTGCAGATAATTGGAAAGGAACTACCAGCACTATTTTTAAGCAATAAGCAAAGGGGAATCGGTATAGCAATAAATATAATAAGCCAAGTGGGATAATTGAATGGTATTGCCCCGAGACTTATTGGTCTAAGTAGAGGTTCGCCTGGCTGCCTTTCTTCCGTGATATTCGACATCCGTCCAGCAACTATGCTCCTGCAGGCATGAACAGTCCGTTGGCCCAGTCATTCGCCTTCTATTCGACCAGCAGTTGTCCATCCCGCATTCCCTCTCGGTCCATCAATCATACAAATGCCCCCTTACTGTTTCGCGGCGGCGGCACGCTCGGCCTCCTTCTTGGCGTAGTAGGCATCTCGGCCGTTGGTTCGGGGCATGTGGTATCCGTACCTATCCCGCTATTAGACAGTCTTCCCTTTGCAAATCAGAGTCGGTTCGCTATTTCCAAGTTCCGTACCAGTACCAGTTGGCCATGATGAATCCGGATCCTAACGAGATGTGAGCCAAAGCGGATAACAAAAAAAAAAGTCCCATAGCTGTGTCAAAGCGTTGCGAACAATCGGGGGGCAGTATTTACCAAGACCGACGCCGAGGTCAAGGATGAGCTGTCGCCGCAGCATCTGCACCCTGTGTTAGCTACTCCAATGAATTTATAGCGGGACCTTCCACGATTCCCGGGGCGACACTGCGCCATTGGCCGGGATAGGGACGTACTCCAGTGATCGGTGCGATAGCCATTGTGAAGAGAGAGCTTTCCGAGCTGTTTTGAAGCCGTGAGATGCGTTGTTTGGCTGTTTGGTGAATTTCGGTACAGCGGAAATGGAGAATCTGCTGGGTATGGATCAAACCATGGTATGGTCTGATGTTAATCCCGCTAAGGCGCATCACGTGATAGCACAATACCGGCCGTCGGCGGATTCTCGGGTGTGCGAAAAAGAAGCGTCTTGAGCTATGCGATGGGTTTAGTAAATTGGGAAGATTGAATCATTCGTTTTCTTCAATGGGTTGCAGGTCAGCTAGTTGAGACTCGTCTTCCTGCTGCTGCCATCTCGGAACCAATGAGTCTACGGCTAGCCACTCGGCGGCTGGCGCTGTCAGGTGATATCTCTGCCGAAGGAAATAACCATTTTATATCAAAAGTTCGCTGGCTAATCAAAACCACCCATTGGACACAGGCCCCTCATCTCCAGCCTCATTGCTGGCGCCGATTAATGGAGGTTCACACGGAACCGTTGGTGTACTGAGTCAGCGTCGTCACAAATGGTCGATCAATGTGTTCAAAGGATGGGGTAAATCTAGTTCCAAAGAGTCTGGCGACAGAGGCCAGGACCCATCCGCCTCTGAATTGGACGATCCCAAGAAGCGACAGCAGTTCTTGCAACGGAATATGCGGGGTGGAGTTGAAGACAACATTTTCCAGGACGAGATTGAGGCCGCAAAGCCGGCACCCGATTCTCCAGCCGCCCAGACGTCAGAGGAAAGGACCAAGGAGAGCTTGGCAATGGTAGTCGATCCAGATGCTCGGAGCCGTATCCGGTGGCAGCGAAGAAAGGTCATCCAATCAGTGCGCCGCAACGGGCAGCTGACAAGAGAGGAGAAGATCAAAATGACGGAGCGCGAGCTCATTCACAAGAGCGACTTCTTCCCAACCAGCGTCAAGAAACTGGTCATGTTGGCACGGCAGATTGCCGGCAAGCCAGTCGACGAGGCTATCCAACAAATGAAATGGTCAAAAAAGAAGTTTGCGGCCGAAGTCAAATATCACCTGGAAGAGGCGCGGGACATGGCTGTTGTTCGGCGCGGTATGGGCCTTGGAAAGGTCAACGGTGACATTCTAGATACGCCTCGCAAGGTGCGAACCAAGGACGGCAAATGGATAGAGATTGAAGACCCGACCCGCCTCTATGTTGCTCAGTCATGGGTTGGGCGCGGCCCCTGGCGTGGAAAGGAGATTGACTATAAGGGACGAGGGAGAATGGGTGTCATCCAGCATCCCAGCACGAGTAAGGCATTACTAACTCCCCTTTCTTTCAATAACATATTTCAGATTCAGATTTGCTAACCCATGTGGTGATATAGGCTTTACAGTCATTCTGAAAGAGGAAAAGACCAGAATTCGGGAGTATGAAGAGGAGAAGGCTAAGGAGGCACAAAAAGGCCCTTGGGTTCACTTACCAAACCGCAAGGTGCATGGCCAGAGACCATACTATTCATGGTAAAGACAAGAGAACGAGGCTGGTGGAAATTCGGAAGCAATAGAGTTGGCATGACAATGAGCATGTACCTGTATCAATATGTACAATGAAACGAAACAACATACTCGGGGCAACTGGATAGAGTATTTCAGTTCTGGTTTCCTGCACCACGTAACTTCAGACTCATCGAATAGTATCCGTGCTCAAGAGATGAAGAATACACACACCCCGTTTTGACTTGAAACGGCCCATCACCGATTGTATTTTGTAGCAAGCGTCGGTTCATACATTACACGGAGGCTTACTCCAGGAGAAGAAAGGCGTTTGATCGCTGGCCGTCACTTTGAGCCCATAATTGAAGTTTGCAACATAATCCATACAGTTGAACAGTTGAAACAAATGGAAATTGGATCAAAGCTAGTCCTCAATCGTGAGCTAATCCCACTACCAGAGCACAGATGGCTTACTTCACCTGAGGACTATCAAAGACACGAGATGCAGCTACACCATGGCTCTTGGCTGCTGCCGAGGTACCATGTCTTCGTACCGGTTAGAAACCAGTTCGAGATCATTCGAATACTTTTCAAACGCGCCTTGGCCACGACCGGAACTAGGAGGCGGCGCAGAGATGTCGAAGGAATCGTGAGTTCGGCTGCGATTTTTCAAGAAAAAGAAGACGCCGGCAAATGCAATTGCAACTACAGCAGCAGCGACTCCGACACCGATTCCAATGGCCGCGCCTTGAGACAAACCACCTGCTGGAGCAGCTGCGGATGTTTCAGTAGCTGTGGGATTAGATGTGGAAGAGACAGTGTTGGAAGAGGCAGCAGAAGTTGTCGTAGGAGGCGGTGATGTTGGTTTAGACTGGGTTGCCTCGAGTTAGCAATGTTGTAGAACCTAGGCCATAGGACGAACGTGAGAACACATACCGCGGGAATTGTAGAGTTTGAGTGTGGAGGGGTTCCTGTCGGCGGAGCAGAGGGTTGGGTGGGAACGGAGGCTGGTCCTGTCGTGGCCGACGATGCTGTAGTTGGTGGCTCGGTGGCCGGTGGCGATGAAGACGGAGGCGCTGTTTCTGAGCTCGGGGCAGATATCGTTGGCGGCGATGTTGGACTTGGGGTTGTTTCGCTTGGAGGAGCCGTCGTCTCGGACGAGCCTGGAGTCGCCGGTGGTGTTGAGGTCGGAGGAGCTGATGCACCCGTTGGTGTAAACGCCAATTGTTGACCTATGGATGGATGAGTACACGACATATCTTGTCCATACATTTGGACCCTTACCCTGACAAAAGGACCCAGCTAGAAAGGCCTGGATCTGGACGTCCGTAGCGCCGCAACCAGTTTGACCACAGTCTCGTACGCCAAATCCGAAGTTGGCGTTTGCACAGAGACAGGCAGCGTCATCTGCATTAACGCAGCCATACTGAGTGAATTGGCCTCTGACAGTGTTCGCACAACCAGGCTATGACAAGGTCAGATACTGCTAGAGCTCCAATCGTCGAATTGACCTACCACACAGGTGGGCGTGTCCTGGGCAGCAACACCATCGACGTAAATCAGGCTCAGTGCACCGAGCACTGCTGGAAGAAGGTAGCGCATATCGAAAAGATGGCTCTTAGTCGCCGGTCTCGCACGCTGAGATTTGAAAATTGAGAAGATATTGAAACTTGTTTTCTAGAACGAACTAGATGATCAGAAAGATAGGCTGGAGCCACCAGACCTATTTTTTCTCTGTCTCTCTCCTTCTCTTCTATCCCACTATCCCTCTCTTTTTTATGCGACGTCACGAAGATACGGAAGAAGAGGCTGAAAGGACGGGGAATCTGGACAAAATGTCGACCGAGAGTTGCCAGCACGCACGGTCAGACAGTAATCGAAAACGGGCTCGTAACAGGATGTGCAAAGTACGAGCAAAAGAATGAGGCTGAAGGAGTGGAATGCAGATCTCGCAAGCAAAGGGAAAAAGGGTTAGTGACAATAATCGAGGTCTGCGGATGGAATGGCCATAGAAGGGGGCTCGAAAAGGGAGGGAAAAGGAGCGTAAGAATGTAAAATTCGCAATATATTCGTAGGGAGCGTGGATGGTCTAGACAAGACCGGTGTAAGTTGAAGAGAAGAGAGAAAAAAATGAATGAATGAGGTGAACAGGAATCGCAGTCGCTACAGGAACATGAAGACACGATGGAGGATGAAATTCCAGCGGGAAGAATGCCAGTAGTGGTCGCTTTAACCCCCAGCTCCGTGTTGGGCTCCGTAGATCATTAATGATAGGGATGCAATCCCGGTCTGCGGGCCCACCTCCAGCACCTAGCCAGCGCTAATAACGCGCTCCAAATGCGCTGCTGTGCCTGGCTCCGTAGCGCTTGGGTACCTGCTGCATTCTGCAAAGTAGGGGGGTTGATCTGAAACAAGGAATCATACAGGCAAGGTCACCTTCCACGGTGGCTTCCAGGCGCCGTACGAGGCGGAAACAGGACTAGCATGGGAGTGCTAGTGTCGAGCTGGTTATTGCTTGACAATTTCATGCCCAAACATTACGAGGGCATCTTGTATATTTATAACTCTAAAACTCGAGCTACTGTTTCCCCGATGCAAACATCTAGGCCTACCAAGTGCTCGTAGGTACTAAGTAGTAGACAGGTCTCGCTACCTGTTCCATTACATTACTCACATTACGTAATTACTGCTATCTACTACCTCTAGTAGTACCTGGTAGGTAAAGGTACTGATCTGCGTCATACACTACCTACCTAGTAGGTACACTTTAGGTAAGGGCTCAACTGTCTAGGAGTCATCACAATATGGAACATTCAATTATACCATCAGCCGCGGCTGCAGAGCTACCTATTGCCTGCCTAACACTTTCCTTAGTACTGCCATCTGGTAGTAGGCACCTAGTAGGTTCTTTCGTAGGAAAGTTACCGAGGAAACTCTACCAGAGAGCTGTGAGAGGAACTTTAGTACCTAGGCAGGTACCTGCCGCTCAGTACCTTAGGCCACCGCCAAGCTAAGGTGGGTAGCTCGGCCTTGCATTAGGTAGCGTAGAGGTACCTAAACCAGGTATTAGTAGAGCCGTAGCACCAGACTCAGCTTTTTGCGTTTGCAGATCCCATCCATCTCAACAGCTTACCATCGACATCCGAATCTGCCCTTCTTCCCACCCAATCTCGACTTCCCTTCCATCGGCTCCCACATTGCGATCACTCTTACTTTATGCTGCGGGCACTGTGATGCCGCACCGGAACGGCCGAGGAAGACGACCATGGCCAATCCTGTAGGCGAGGAGAGCTGGCTGGCCTATCTCGACGAAACCACCCGCAACGCCCCCGATCTCGAGCAGCGCGTAAACGTCGTCGAACTTTTCAAACGCGCTGTTGGCGCGGAACCCGGCAGTCTGAAGATATGGCTGGCATACTGCAACTATTTCTGGTCTCTTTGGGCGGATAGTCAATCCGATGCTGCTGGGTGGCCAGAAGAGGAACAAATGATGGGTCGTGAGCTTTTCTCGTTCGGATCTGCCCTTGACTTGTGGCAGCAAGGTTACGAGGCCATCAAGTATCGCATCAACGACAGTCACATTCTCTGGAACCGCTGGATATCGCTAGAAATGGAGCTTCTTGAGAAGACGAAAACTCCAGAGGGTGTCAAGCGCATCACGCACCTGTACCGTGACCGACTTACGACGCCTCACATCACTTGGGACGAAACATCGCAAATGTTCTCGAGCTTCCTGTCGGAATACAATCGCGCTGCGTGGGAGGAATCCATGAAAGACGTCACCGCACTATCACAGGATGCAAAGCGCCTGATGGCGGAGCGGGATTCTTTTGAGCTTAGGCTCCAACAGGCATCCAGGGCCGACGATGCGGAAGTCCAAAAGAAAACCATGACCGATTATCTCGAATGGGAAGCGTCACGCGCCCTTGGTGGACAAGGCATCGCTGACATCAATTTCAACCTTTGCTGTGGACTCTATGCTAGAGCCTTGACCGGGATATTCGCATCCGACGAATCGGTTTGGCACCAACATATAGTATTCCTCTCGTCCTCGTATGCCGATACAAAAGCCCCTGAATATCTACTCAATGCCCTCCGCCGGGCCGTTCAGCATTGCCCCTGGTCCGGTCGCTTATGGAATAGGTTAATTCTATGCGCAGAAGAGGCGAGATTAGATTTTGCTGAAGTGGAGTCGATTAAGCATGCCGCGACGAGCGAAAACCAGCTGTACAAGCACGGCATGGAGAGTATGATCGAGATGTATGTAGCTTGGTGCGGTTTCCTCAAACGAACGGCGATGGATGCGAGCGCTACAGATGAGGCTGTAGATGTGGCAGATGTAGGGCTGAGTGCCGCTCTCGAAGACGTTGAAGTTGTGGGCAAAAGATTATACGGCAAAGATTTTCAGGGCGACCCCAAGTTTCGGCTGGAGCGAATCTATATCCAATACCTAACTGAGAAGAAGGGAGCGGTAGACGAGGCAAGAATGCAGTGGAATAAGCTAGCCAAGGCCCAAATCCACGCCGACAGTCACGACTTTTGGTTTCGGTATTATATGTGGGAGATGCTCATATTCTCTTCTACCAACACAAGCAACAGCCCTTCACCCTCTTCTGGAAGTGGCAATTTCCGGATACCGGTGCTTGCTACCGCTGTTCTTCAGCGCGCTGTAAACCGACAGACCATTGACTGGCCTGAAAAGGTGCTGGAGGTTTACATGCAGCATTGCAATGATTACGAACAGTCGCATTCTGTACGCAGAGCAGCTGATGCCGTGCAGAAAGTTGAAGCGAACATTGCGAGGCGACGTGCTCTTGAAGAAGAGGAGAAGGCTGCCGCATATGCTGCCTATTATAGCGCACAGCCAGCAGGTCATGATGAAGCAATTTCAGGGGATGTCCCCCCAGGCCAGTCTAAGAGAAAACGGGAAGATCCAGTGGATTCACAAGAGCCCAACAACACCAGCAGTAAACGCCAAAAGAACGAGCACGAAGTGCGCGAAACGCAGTCTGGACTGCGGAGAGACAGAGAGAACACTTCCGTGCTCGTCTCAAATCTTCCTGCAGAGGTCACGCAGACAAAACTCCGCCAATACTTTAAAGAGTATGGCCGCATCAACAACATCACAGCGCTAGTACGGGAAGAAGACGGTCTCTCGTCAACGGCAATGATTGAGTTCAGTACTCCAGAAGAAGCTCAGTCTGCACTACTCAGAGAGGGCAAGTTCTTCGGGGAGTCCCAGATTCATGTGCGATCAGCGTATGATTTAACCATCTACGTCACCAACTACCCACCTGCGGCTGATGAAAAGTACATCCGTCGATTGTTCAAGGATTGCGGAGAGATTTTAAGCATTCGATGGCCCAGTCTGAAGGTGAACACGCATCGCCGATTCTGCTACGTCTCTTTCCGTGACAGTGAAGCATCCGCCAGGGCAGTGGCAAAAGAAGGCACCATTCTGGACGATAAATATAAGCTCGTGGCTAAATATTCCGATCCCAATCGCAAAAAGAGCCGCGAGGGTGCTGTTGCTGAAGGCCGAGAAGTTCATGTCTCGGGGTTGAGCCATTCCGCTACAGAAGAGGAAATCCGCACAATATTCTCAAAATACGGAACCATTTCGAGAATAAACGTCCCCCGAAACATGAGCGGGAAAGGTCGAGGTTTTGCATTTGTCGACTTTGCAACAAAGGACGAAGCCGAAAAGGCTACGTCAGAACTTGACAAGACCAAGTTTCTCAACCAGATAATTCACGTCGAGATCTCAAAGGCTTCTAATGTGAAGCCCACAGCTCATATCGTCTCACACGACCGTGCATCTCCGGCACACCAAGCGAGCGATGACGCCGGCGTTGACATGGCCAACCACGGGTCTTCCATTGACAAGTTGTCAGGCCCTTCGGCTGGCGACATTGCCGCGCGCACTATCGCCCTCATGGGCCTGCCTGACACGATCAATGACGCTCGAGTGCGAGCGCTTGTTGAGCCGTTTGGGTCTATCGTCAAGCTCATTCTACAACCAAGCCACGGCGGCGCGAAGATAGAGTTCGCAGACTCTTCCGCTGCGGGCAAGGCAAGTCTGCAACTTAGCAATTACGAGTTTGAAGGCCGCAAACTGCAGGTTGGGTCTCCCGATGACCTCCGTCATGCCAAGGTTGAGAGAACAGAAGATCGCATCGTCCCACGTAGCCAGAGTTCGGCCAAGAAAGACAAGCCAACCGGCACCACGGCGAACAGTTTCTTGCCCTCGTCGGTGATAAGGCGACCTACCTTGGGAAGACCGGGTCCAAAGCGAGGGCTCGGTTTCTCTGCCCCAAAACCAATACCCGGATCTGATGTAAAAAAGGATGGGGAGAGTGCAAAGCCAGCGCCAAAGAGCAACGCTGACTTCAAAGAGCTTTTTTTGAGAGGCTCAAACCCGAAGAATAATACCGACAAGGCCGACTAAATCGGAACATCTTCGGTGGCTTGCCTCCAATTGAACCTGATATATCAGAAAGTAGCTATAGTGTTTTCTACTGAATTGACAAAATAAATTCTATCAAGTTCCAAACCTAGTATTTCCTTATTATCTTGCTCCGAAATTGCCGTTTCGCCCAAGC